CGGCGTCGCGTCACGAAAAGCACTCCGAACAAACTACACACTTTCATCAATAGCTGTATTCGCTCAAGATCAGCTGGCCGGCCAGAAAAGATCAGCAATAGTGAGGGATTTCTGGCAATGAGCGAACGAGTAAGAACCGACTGGGCAACCAATATACAGGAAGAAATAAAGGTGGATTGGTCAGACTCTGAGAAAACAAAGGATCAAGGGACATCACATTCCAGGATTCACTGGATTGGAATCTGAAGAAGAATCAGTGAGTTGCTCGTCAGTGCGAGGGTGACACGGGGGAGGAGGGAGTGTGAAGAGGAGATGAAAGGAAGTGGGCACACCTGGAGCCAGGTGGCAGAGTACCGAACGCGATGGAGACACGTGGCTGAAGCCCTATGTTCCACTAGAGACTAAACGAAACAATTATATATATATATATATATATATATATATATATATATATATATATATACTAGTCATTCTTAATAATGTTAGCATGTACTGAAATAGAAGAAAGGGCTGTATGTTTTTTTTAATTGAATTTTTTTTTATTTTCCCGTCGATTGATTGGACCGAAGTGCTCGATCTCAGGTTGACATATCTGCCAGTTTCTTGTGCAGGTGCTTCGATGGTGCCTGGACATTAAGTTAGAGTTTAATTTGTGGATGGTGACTAGCAGTGGAATCCATGACGCGTATATCGTCCTGTTTGGGACTCGTCATCTGGATGTACCTGCATTTCCCAGTGAGTGATGATGTTCCCACCGAGGCTCGAACCAGGCGGTCTAGTGGATAACGCTTTCGCATTTGAAACTATGGTCACTGGGTTCGAGCCTCTGTGGGAACATCATCACTCACTGGGAAATGCAAGTGCATCCAGCTGTTGAATCCCAAATAGGGTGGAATGTGCATCCTGGATTCTACTGCTAGCTATTATTGACCAATTAACTTCGAATTACATGCCCAGACATCGTCGAAAAATCTGCACAAGAAGACGACATGTCAACCTGAGACCAAGAACTTTGGTCCAATCAATCAACGAGAAAATCTATAATTCAATTAAATAGCTTGTCTATCCTTGAAAATTACACCAGATGAAGTATTGTGTTTACACTTTACAAAAGATATGTACAGAAAGCTAAGGCGTTTACAGTGAAAATGGTGGAAATAATCTTCCTTCTAAAATATATGATTGTGTTCACAAGTAGAGCCTTCGTAAATCCTAAGGAGAAGGTGAAGAATCATTTATATTGAGGTGTGTATGCTTTGAAAATATTGTACGAAGTGATTTCCATTAAATTGTCGCTATTTGTTCATATACTACTGAAGAGAAGTAAGTAGCCTGCAGGATTTTGCATTATATTCTGAAAGTCAGTATTTAGTTCAGAAAATTTGTGCATTACCGAAAGCATTTCCTCTGGACTGCAGACTTTCATCAGTAGCTCCCTTCCCCCCCCACACTGAAAATAAGATGAACAGAAGGGAACAGCAACAAGAGATTCTGAGAACTAACCAATCAAAAACTTATCGCCTAAGAAATATGCTGGTGAAAATAGAGATGGATATGATGTACTCTGAGAAGATCTATAAAGGTGATATCGTGAGCCATACTACTGCTCGAGGTGAACTTGAAATAGAAACGATAAATAGGGAGTTGGTCCTAGGGTGACAAGGAGGTGCTTGGATGAAGAAAAAATGAAATTTCGTCGGGAGTTTTGGAGCCACTTAAAATGATTTCACATGACAAATGTCAAACAGAGATGTGGCGTTGGAGCTTTATTTTTCACTAAGAACCCAAGTGGGTATTATTATTATTGTTTCCATTAGTTCCTAGAGGAACATAGGGCTTCAGTCGTACGTCTCCATGGCGTTCGGTATTCCACCAACGTTTTTACCTGGCCCCCTATCCGCCCACATGCTTCCTTCTCCTCTTCACATGACCTCCTCCAAGTCACTCTTGGTAGACCAACACACCGCTTCCCGTTTCGGTTGCACTCCAGGGCCTGTCTTGTGATGTCACTTGATGGTTTGTTTTCTCAGAGTATGGTCAGCCAGTCCACCCCCATTTCTTCCTACATATTTCTTGCACAAATTAATTCCTGCTGGGTTGGTTCGCTCCCAGAGATCCCTGTTGATCATATTTTCTGGTCTTGAGTGGTATTGAGCGGAGACAGCTGTTGATGAAAGTGTTTAGTTTGTTCGAATTTCTTTTCGTGACACTTCAAGTCTCTGATCTATAAAGTAGCACTGACTTCACATTGGATTGGAAATCCGGATTCTATTTTTCATGCTGATAACTGCTTTTAATCTCCACGTAGACTTGAGAGAAATGAATATGTTTACCTTGCTTTCCCGATGATCCTCGCTTTGATATCCTTGAGTAATCATATAATATGTGTTTAATACATCTGTTTATATCCTAGAGGTTGATTTATGAGTACCAATACAAAATTTGACCCCAAATTAATTTCGATTCTTGGTTACAGGATTTCACCATGAGCTGGCTACAGCTAGATAACTTTTAGAACTGCCTCAATTGAACTCTTCTACCGCAGGACCACGTGTTTACAGGGCGAGTTAGTAGACCACTAAGGCACTGGGGCCCAACTTTGTTCAATGGCCAGCCCAGGAATTTGAACTTCTACCAATAATTTAGGATATACAGCGACTGACGCTAGCCAATGTCATCGCTGGAAAGTATCTGTCCTCACACCTGACCAGCTGCACATGAATCTTTGTTGTTTTGACAGCCTTGATGTGTTTCGTATTTTCTGTTGCCTGATTCAACTGATGAACGAAATTCACTGGTGTTGAATGAGATCTACCTCCAGGGAGCAAATTAACTTCCCGTCAACAATTCTATAAAATGTACACAAAGAGTTGAATCAGTTAATTCAAACTAGTCCACCTTTGTAGTATTCATTGCCTTCTATAAAAAAATGTTGGTTATCACTCTCTGAACACATGTGTTAAATCCTACAGAAATATAAGTGCATTAGAAAATAGGTTAAATTCCAATGTTGCGGCAGACAAGCTGAAACCTGAGGACATCATCCCTAAAATGGAAGTATAACTAAGTGGGATCAAGAAAAAAACAACGGCCGACGAAGTATGGGCACTATGTGCACTGATATATGGCGTTGTTAAAGTTCATAAGTTCAGGAGACCCTATGAGAACTATAGTTGATTTTAGAAATTCACCTAATTATGAATTATCTAAATATTTAGCCATGGTATTCAATCCCCCTTAAAAGCCACTCGAAATCATCAAGATTAACAAATTTTTATGAACTAAAACATAGATTAGATAGTTTAAAATTAGATAATTTAGAGAAAATGGTCAGTTTTGGCATTGTCAGTTTATATACACGTATACTGATGAATATGGCTATAGAGGCAGTGAGAAACGAACTCATTTCTGAATAGGAACTTGAACTTAGGACAAAAGTGCCACTTGAGGTAGTGCAGCTATGCCTGACTTCCACAGTATTTAAGTTTCAAGGGAAAATATACAAACAAACTGAGGGAGTTTCCATGGGGTCACTAATATCCCCCGTTGTGGCAGATATATTCATTGTTAGGTGGGGAAACATAGCAATTGAAACGTTCACCTCCACCCGAAAAGCATGGAGGAGATATGTAGATGACACATTCACTGTACATAAATAGAACACAAATAGTTTTTCAAACATACCAACTCAAAGGTGGAGGCAATTCAATTCACTTATGAATTGGAATGTCAAGAACTCAGGGAGCTTTTAATGTTAGATTGTAGCGTAAAAAGGAAAGAAAATGAGAAGTTGAACACATTCTAGTGTGTTTACAGGAAACCCACACATTCAAACAGATATTTGGACTTCCGATCATTCCATCTCATGTCAGGGAAAATAGGATTGGTGAAATGTTTAAGTGACAGAGCATAAAACCTGAGTAGTACCAAGGAAAATCTAAGACAGGAAGTGATAAACATAAAATAAGCCTTGAAACTTAAGAATTTCCCTGAAAAAATTAGTCAGAGAAAATATGTAGGGAAATGTAAAATTAAAATAAATAATGATAGTATTGATAATGATAATCATAATAATGGTAATAATAATGACGACATGCAACTCAAATGTGAGCAAGACAACACCAACAATAAGGAATCTGAGTCATCAGTAGTACTTCCAAAGAAAGAAGGAACCTTAGAAACCTTACGCAGAATTCTTAACAAAGCAGGCAGCAATAGAAGTGAATGGCATTCAAATAACCCACAGACTTAATTAGAAATAAGCTTTATCGGTTGAAGGATCCTGTAGAGCCTTTAAAACAAAACTATTTAGTCTATCTAATACCTTGCTGGAATGATTTTCAGGTGAAATACATACGTCAAACTAGTAAAATAGGTGCAGTCAGACTGGCGGAGAATACAAACCTAACAAAATCTAAACTCATTGACCAGAATAAGATAAGATATCTAGAGAATAGTCCATCTATATATACTACTCATTACAAGCAACTACACACAACCATACAATTAGATGGGATAATGTACCAGTCCTAAAATTCTAATATGATAACAAGGTGCAGGAGAGATTGATAACAGCAACGGAAACTTTATCTATCGAATCAACTGAATGAAAATTCATGTAATCGGAATGATTCAACAGCTGTCGACTTGGACATCTTCAGAAATTCCACTATCCCCATGACGATGAATAGGAGGGAATATAGGAAACTATAAAAAAAAGAAAGTTTCGAAGTTGTGTGGTTTTCATTGATGGATATGATTATGAACTGGAATAACTGGTGTTCTAAACTTTGTATCAGCCAGTATGAAAATAATACTGTTTCACAATGTGTGTGTCTGTGATATATCCATCTAATAAACGAATTAATGTGGAATTATACACAGACACGCAGACACACACACTACTATAATGCGCTTAACTTTTACACACATATGTATTCATGATTCATATTATCACTTCCTACAGAATATCACCAATGTCAATTTTATTCTCCTTTCAGATATGCTACAAACTTATCCTCAGTTTAATATACTTTGTGCTTTTTCCTTACCTGTAAATTCTGTTAAATTGTGTGCAAAACGAATTCAAGAAAGCACTGAAATGTTTGATGAAAGAAGAAAGAAGATTTCTTTAGAATTTCTTGATGGAATAAGAGTTATATCAATGATATGGATTATTACAGGACATATTCTATTACATGGTTATAAGTTAACAAGTAAGTTAAATGAGTGATACACTCCTCTTGTTTTAATTGATAAACATAAAATGTATGTGTCTTTACAAATCATTCCATGGTAATCAGTAGACAGAAAAAATAAATCCAACATAAAAACAGCAGGTTGAAGATGAGGCGGTAACTCGTGGAAGAAGACATTGCGAAATGGTCACGCAATGTCGTGAATTGGCAGAAGTTGGAATTCAGCGACCATAGAATCGGGTCTCAGTGGATCAATGGTCTACGAGCTAGCTCGCCTTGTAACCAGAAGGTCCTGGGTTTGAACCCCGTTTTGCGGGTGCGTACTGTCGAAGAGTCCAAACTAGGACGAAACAGCTGTCCAGTACTTTCTGGTGGCTTTCCAATGGTTCTCTGACTGCTGTCAGCTGTTTCTCAGAGAATCAAGCCATATATCTGCGAATCATATTTCCACGCGTTAACTCCGCAGTGATTGGCTGGTGATTTTTTAAAGATACATCTTTGTTATTGTTTTTCTCATGATCCTGACTCGTGACATGAATATTGACTTAAATTGTTGTCTATAATTAACGTCATTGTTCACATCCCGAGTCAGGATCATGGTAAATACAATAATACAGATGTACTTTAAAAAATCACTAGCCAACCACAGCACAGTTAACGTGTGAAAATATGATTCGTAGATATACGGCTTAACTTTCTAAGAGATGGTTACAAGTAGTACAGAATAACTTTTGGCGAGAGAACAACCAATCAGAAGACTCTGTTTCTCTGCTAACAATGATGAATAATAATGTTCATAAAAAACTATAAATATCTCTGATTTTCTCAAGAAACAATCTGTTGCCTGACTGTTGTCTTCTGTCGTTACAACTGAACTCTAGCACAAAGCTGAGACGGTAAAGGAATCATGTTAAATAAATTCACAGTATTGAAAGTCAGTTATATGAATGACAACTGAATATCCAGTCATATAGGTCTTCATTTAGATGCATTATGTTTAGAAAAGATTACACTCATATACAGAGAAGGGCAAAGTGGAACAATTCTGATGCAGTTGTGTTCTCTAAGTTGGATGGTTGGCTCTCTTGTGAAGCTTTCATGGCCTCATTACTAGGTAACATCTTCAGCATGCATACTTCAACTTGCTAAAAAGAGCTTCGAAATTCCTCAAAGAGTCTATTTGTTATCTCTCCTGATGACCATCCAGCCAGATCAAAGGCATCCAGGGTAAAACACTAAGAAAGTCTTCTTACCAATGTATAAAGAAGGAATCAGAAATCAATGCAACACTCTTCAAACCTTAATGGATCGATGTTGTACATACACCAACAAAATCACTTCATGCAACTCTGTGTCAACCAAAAGATTCAGAAGCGAAAGAAGATGAAACCAACAATATCATCTACAAAATAGGTTGCAACAACTGCGAAAAAAACAACATTGAGAAAAGTGGACGCCCCCTTCGTTTTCTAATCCATTATCATAAATTGGCCATCAAAAGACACGATGATATCCACTCCCTCATATCACTGCATATAGACAATCACGGACATCATTTCCACTGGGAAAAAGTTCAAATACTGGACAGATGTAACACCAAGAATGACGGAAAATTTTAAAAGCTGTCATTCCAGTGAATCATCAATCACAATAGACATATAGATAAAATTTACTGATCCATAAGAAAGTACGTCGGTGGGGACGCTTTCCGACCATGCACATGGTCTGAGATTCGATCCCTGCCACAGACACACTCCTTTACCTCACTAAACCAGTAATAAAGCTGGTAAAGAGGAAAGGTTGGGCATGAGACTAGCAACTCCATCCTGTAAAAATAATCATCACTACTAGGGAAACTTAAAGCTTCTAGCTTGAAGGCGCCCTGTGTTCCACTGGGAACGCAAAGGAGTATGAGAAAATCCATAAGAAGGAAATCTCATACACAAAATTCAAACTTCAAGTCATGCGAACAATCAATACCAATACCACGAGTAGACCAGAGGGTATGAAAGCAACAAAAGCAACTAATTAGAACGTTCAAAGTCACTCACCAAGAGAAATTTCAAAGACCACTTCGAGAAATTGTAGTACGCGTTGAAAGCTTCGCAAGTAAACCAAGCATACATCTGAGAGAACACAATTACATCAAAATCATTCATCTGAGACACAAATCTTCCCATTATATATCTAAGTGGAACAATCTTTTAGATTACAACTGATGAAACCCACCTTCATATAATCTATGCATTGTCATAGTTTGCTCACAAATTGCTCAAATCGATTTGTGCATGTTTCCAACCAAAAGCCAAGATTCTGAAAGGGAATAGGAATGAAAAATTTGAAACAGCACACACAGAACTGTAGATAAAAATAATGAACTACAAAAATATTGAAATTTTCAGGTTATAGAGTTTGATACGATGTATATACATTGATAATAGATAACTGGGTTTATTTGTCCATCGCCGAATATCACAGCAACCGGTAATAGTCTGGTGAGGACTAGCTGCTAGCCAAAATTGGTAGACAGTAATTTACGTCAATGTGTACGTCCCCAATATGGGTTATGAGAAAAATAAGAACAAAGACTGATTCAACAACCAATCACAGTAGACTTTGCGAAGGCGGATATAATTTGCAGATAGATAATCTGCACTTCAATAAACGGCCACTAACAGGTCAAAGATTAACGTTCAGCGAGAAACAACGAATCAGATGACTGTGTTTGTTTGCTTAAAATAATCTATAATAATGTACATGAAAATCTATAAATATGTGTTGATTTCCTAAGTAAACGATCTGTTGCCTGGGCCTTTTCTTCTGTTGTTACAATAGTAGAGTAATGTTGAATTTATCAGGGTGAAAGAACTAAAGTGAAAATGTTATCAGTGTTTATGAATATTACTCGAATAAAAATAAAGAAAGCAAAATACACTGAAGTGTAAGAAGTTATTCGAGCAAACTGAAGACCTTCATAACAGCTAGCTGTTTTCGCTCAATATCACTCAAGATCAAATGACCGGCCAGAAAAGATCAACAATAGGGAGGGATCTCTGGCAGTGAACGAAACAACCAACCCGGAACCGATTGTGCAACAAATCTGAAGGAAGAAATATAGGTGGATTGGTTGGCCATACTCTGAGAAAAACAAACCATCCAGTGAGTGATATCACCTACAGTGCAGTCCATTACTTGAGTGGAACCCGAACGGAAAGCAGTAAGTTGGTGGCATGTAGGAGGCAGTGATTTGAAGAGGAGGTGAAAGCAGGTGAATGGTTGGACGTGGAGCCAGGTGATGAAAATGTTGGCGGAGAACCAAACGCCTCCTCTAAAACTAAAGGAAATAATAATAATAATAAGTAATAATATACTAGGAAGGCTGCACTGATATATTCATGACGTTGGATATCAATTTGCTTCAGTTTTTCTAGATTAATAGAGTAGTAAAAATTGTTAAGCATTTCACCTACTTTCATCAGAAGTGAAAATCCACTCAGGCAATTGTCAGGATGAAATTTCAAATCTTATCAGTGAGTAGTACACTTCAGAAACACTTGAACTATTCCTTAATATTCAGAAAATTTACTACCTTGTAAAATAGTTGCTAGAGAGACAAAATGCTTGAGCTGTATGGTATCTGCTAAACGATGTGCCATCCATGATCGGTTTGGCAGTTTGAACCTGAGGCTCAATCATATTTGAAGCTACACTTAACAATAGGCAGTAACATTTGATTGAAATGATGTATGTCAGTCTGTGGACAAGGATCTCAGAATTCACAAATCTATTATTATTATATCCTTTAATTCCTAAAAAACATAGGGCTTCAGCTGCGCATCTCCACTGCCTTCGGTTTTCTGTCAACTTTTTCACCCCGCTCCAGGTTTGCCCGCATTCTGTCATCTCCTCTTCACATGACCACCTCCAAGTCACCCTCACACTGACGACCAACTTGCCGCTTCCCTTTCAAATTCCACTCGACCAATGGCTTGTCTAGTGATGTCACTTGATGGTTTCCTCAGAGTATGGCCAGTTAATCCGCTCTGGCAGTGAGCGAATCAACCAGGAACCGATTCTGAAACAAAAAGGCAGGAAGAAATGGAAATGGATTGGCCACACCCTGAATAAACCATCAAGTGACATCACTAGACAAGCCCTCGAGTGGAACCCGAAAGGGAAACGGCGAGTTGGTCGTCCAAGGGTAACTTAGAGGAGGTCATGCAAGGAGGAGATAAAAGCATGTGGGCAGACTTGGAGCGGAGTGAAAGAGTCGGCAGAAAACCGAAGGCAATGGAGGTGCGCAGCTGAAGCTCTATGTTCCTCTAGGAACTAAAGGATACAATAATAATAATGTAGCACAGAAAGCAACAGAAGGAAGTAGAAGAAATGCATAATAGAGAGAGACAGTAAACAGAGGTGTGAGACAAAGGAGGAGTAATAACGAAGAACAAAGCAGTTTCATTGGAAATCATAAGTCACAAGGAGTTGATGCATCTGCACTAGCCATTGCGAACGATTTTGAGCCATATTACCAATTGTTTGCAACCATTGGTTTTTACTATCCCGAGGACCCCAAACAGGACGCCAGTCTCCACCTTCCTACGTGACTGGCTTAAACTAACTGTTGTGAATTTTATTGACTGTTGAGGCCATGTTTTGGTTTGACCGCCGCTAGCTCTTTTCCAGCCTAACCCTATGTCAGCTAACATTGCCTATTGTCGAGGAAGGTGATGCCTAGGCATACGTAATACATGTCCTAACCATCTCAGTCGATGTAACTTCACAACTTCGTCGATTGATTTCTCCTTTTTACCTAGAACTCGACGCCTAACCTCAATATTGCTCACTTTATTATGCCAGTTCACACAGGAGATAGAACGCAGGCACCCATGATCAAACACAACTAGCCTTTTCATGTCCTCTACTGTCAATGTCCAGGTCTCACAGCCAGCCATAAGGGAGGACGAAGCGGACTGATGAGCATTGAACCCGCCCTTTGGTCGATAGCCAGCCGGATATCACGTTTACGCCAGAGATGGCGTAAACTGGTATATGCTAAACTAGCCCTCTGTATGCGTGCGGAGTTTTCGTCAGAGATCAACCCAATGACACTGGCTGATGCAATTTTCCGAATAAGTGAAGCGGTCAACATGCTCTACCACTTCACCCCCTATTTCTAATCTAGGAGTCAGTGTAGTCCAGTCCTGTAACATCATCTCGCATTTGGCGAGAGCGAATCACATGCCAAACATTCGTAGATTGCAGCTCAGGGTGTTCAAAAGACTGCATTACGTCAGCGTCCTCGCCTAGAAGAACTATATCGTCTACATATTCTAAGTCGACGAGATCATTCCCTGACGGTAGCAAGTCAATCCCTGAGTCGCTGAAGTGAGTTAGGGTTAAGTCGACTAGTACATCTATGATGAAATTGAATAGAAATAGGGATAATGGGCATCCCTGACGGACACCACTCGTCGTCACCACTTCAGATGACAACTCACCGTAAGCCCTCACCTGGGTGTATGAGTACGAGTAGAGTGCCTTAATCAGTGCAATATATTTTCTCGGAATTCCCTTTACAGCCAAGCATCTCCAGAGAACCTCTCGATCGATTGATGGTGATTGGTGCTGGTTGTTGTCATTGTCGTTGTTATTGCAGCTGATTGGTTATCTTCATCACCTCTGTTTTGTCTGTGTTCACCTGAAGTCCTGTCTTCTCTGCCTGACTCATCAGCCGGTTTGCTGCTTTTCGCCTACAAGTCTTCGAGTTTGTGTGACATTGAACATAAATCATGCACAGACGAAATCCAGATCTTCGAATTTTCTTATCTGTCCAACGTACGCCTGTCTTCTCACTCCCTATATACAGTGTGCTGCCTTACCCAGTCCACCACAATTAAGAATATCATCGGTAATAATAAGCAGGAAGCCCTGTCTTACTCCTGTAACAGAAAACATCACTGGAGTCAAACCAGTGAAAGTGAATTTTCATTATATACTTGACAATTAAATCAAAGAAAATTTACAGGTTTTAGCCTTCTTGAGGATTAAACTTGCATAAAAGTATCCTAATATAAGTAACGATTCTGTCCATGTTTAAATCTCAAAGTAGCCACGGGAAGCATCTTCTTCTAAAGTATAAATAACCAGGTCAAAATACCAGGAAACTGCTGCTTTCTTAATTCCTATTGATGACTCATCATACTTTCTATTTGGTGCTCATCTTTACATGTTTACGCAATGAAATGAACATTTTTAGGGACGAATGCACTCAGAGAATTCAGTTTCTCTATAAAATTTCTCTAGTACAAATTTACTACACCATCTTTATAATGAATGTTATTTTAGATAATTTGAAATCATTAGCTGAAGCATTTCAACATGTATGGATATTTGGAATATACTTCAATGCACATTTAGCACCAGATACATACTTCTTCATATCGTAAGTATCTTTTTATTTGATATATCTGCGTCTATCAATTGGAATATATAATAATTTGCTTTATTTCAAAACAGTACTTCTGATACAGAATGGAATTCTCTGCATTTTACTACAGTATTCCATCCAGTTAGTACATTAACAATAAATAAAATTCTACAAAGATTACGGGTAATCTCAGTTAGTTTTCACAACAACATATTACCATGTCGGTAGCAAAGCCAAAATTGAACAGAATGTTTGAAGGTGTTAGAAAAGTAGATGGTAGCATATTTACTGGTGTAAGCGGTAACAAAAGGGTTGAGATATACAGAGTGTGAAAGAACGAACAAGAATGTTTTAAGTAGAGTTTGTAAGGAAGAGAGAAACAGAACAGTACATAACATAAAAGAAATGAAAAGAAAGAAAGAAAACGTTGTACCTATAAAACATACGAATTGGAAAGACGAGATCCAGTTGTTCTATTGACTATATAATAAGTTATAACTTCCACGCATAATGCTTTCTTTATCGCACAGAACACGAGCTTAGTAGGGTATGGTTGAGTTTTTTGTACTTACTAGTGCGAGCATATAGTTTTCTATATAGGCTTCTGGTTTTGCCTGATGAGATAGATACAAGGGGAGAGTTGTGAATGAAGCCGGTGTTATGAGTTAGATAGAATGGATTTAGCCCATTTTTCACATGAGTTCAAGTGCCTGTCGACCAGAATATTAACAAGCTGGTTAAGTGGCACGTTGGTTACCCTGCTGACAACCTGTAACATCCCGCGTAATAAGGCATAGCTTTTCTTCAGTAGCCTAGAGAAAACTAAGGGAGAACAATAGAGAATAATAGGCAGGATGAAAGAGTTAACGAATCGTTGGAGTAAGGGTTGGGTTACTCCAGAATGTCTTAGCTTCTTGATGTAGAAGGTAAGATGGAATATTTTCTTAGAAATCATCAAGATATAAGACGACCAGGAAAGATAGGCAGATAGAATGACCCCATATATATATATATATATATATATATATATATATTTATTATTTTATATATATATTATATATATATCAATTGTAGGCTTGCAGGGATTTGATTTGCCGCAGAATTGATCACAAATTGACATCAGTTAGAGAATTGCTAGAAAAACTGGAACTGGAGTCCTGGACAGCTGGTGTTTCGTTAGTCTAGTTTGTGACTCTGCTTCAGCAGTACGTACCCACCCACTAACCCACGCGGTTCTAATCTAGGACTTTCTGGTTACACGGCTAGCAAGCTTGTAGATGAGTGAGTCAATAGCTCGCCTAGTAACATGTTTTCTGATGGTTTTCTAAGTGATGTCAGCTCGTCATCAATCCTATATATATATGTATAGGCTATTTTTAATAATAATAATAATAATTTTTGCTTTATTCCAAAAACAGTACTAGCATTACAGCAAAGGATTTTCAGCATTCAATATAATATTGCATCTAATTTACTCAAAACGACAAAAAATAAACATTACATACTATTAATAACAAAACGTTGTTATAACAGCTATGTAGCAATAATAGCATGCGATAAAGAGAAAAATATTCATAAAGTATAAAATTGTATTATTAATAGTAATAACAACTAAAATAAAAAAGCTAAGTTATATTTAAACGATAGATAGGGTGACACCATAAAATAACAGAAAGATGAATAATGAAAGGGTCGATTCACTTTGCTAATTACATAGTAACTTATATGTTTCACGTCTAACAGTGTCTCCACCACATAAAATACGGGCTAAATACGGTATTATAGAATAACTTCTTATATTGACTTCTCGTCCTACCTGATGAGATGCAAGAGGATAGTTGTGAATAAAGGGGGTGCAGGAGGTCTGACAGTATGGCCTTTGCCCATTTTGTACAGGAATTTATATGTCTTTCGACTATAGTATTGGCGAACTCATGTAGTGGCAGACCACAAGCCCTACTCACAGCATTTCAGGTAAAATACAGGAGTTTAAAAACTGCAGAAATAAAGTTTGGTTGATACCTGATTATCTTAACGTTTTAATGTAGAAGGTAAAACGAAATATTTTCTTAGAGATAGATAAGATGTGGGATGACCATGAAAGGTCAGAGGAAAGAACTAATCCGAGGTATTTAATGTTTGACTTGGTTTTAATTTCAGTGCCATCTATACTACAGCCAGGCATCATAGGAGCTAACTAGTTCATGTATGTCACGTCGATGCTTGAAAGTAAAGTTAACTGCTTGACATTTGGAAGGATTTAACATAAGACCATTTGACTTAGACCATTTGCTGATGTCCTACAGAAAGTTATTACATATCAGGTTATTACAAGTTATTAGATACCAAATCAAGAGTCATTCAGTGCTATGGATGGCAGTATGCTCTCCGTCCACGCTTGGAATCTGGGTTCGATTCAATACTAACGCTCTCTCTCACTTAGTTTACCAACTGATAGTAAGCGAGGAAAAGGGGAAAGGTTGGTTGTGAGGGTGGTAACGACACCCAGTAAAAAAAAATCAACATCGATGGTAGCATCGCTACTGTATCTCCAATGTTTTAAGCACTCTGCTCCATATAGATAATAAGAAATAAAAACAAATCAAATCAAAAGATCAATAAAGGTGGAAAAATGTCATTTGTTATATTTCAACATAGCGGATAAATACTGGATCCTTTAGGAAGGGTGAATCGATAGTCACGCAGACAGAGAAATAGACAGAGGGCACTGCTGTACACACACAGTTATACATAGATATGATAGAGAAGATTTTTAGCTCAAGTGGTTCTGTTCTCTCAGACAGATAGTTAATTTGCGAAGCTTTCATCACGCTACTAGTGTTTGTGTGTAATTCCTTTTGTGTGTTATTGGATTTTTTCTGTTGTAATTCAGTATTTCCGGGGAATTTCATCAAAGGGCATACACCCTAAATCCAACCAATTAAACCAAAAGCCGCCAAGGAAAGCACAGAGAAAATCACCCTGCCATATATAAAGGATATCTCAGAAATCACTACAAGTCTCTTCAAACCTTTAGGAATTGACTTCGTACACAAACCAACAAATCACTTCACTCGACTGCCTCTATGTCAACTAAAAGATTCAACAACGAAAGAAGATAAAACCAACATCATCGTCTACAAAATACATTGTAACAACTGGGAAAAACACCACATTGGCCAAAGTGGATGACGACCTCTTCGTCTTCGTGTCCACGATCATAAGCTAGCCGTCAAACGACATGACATCCACTCCTCCATATCACTATATACAGACAACCACGGACATCAATTCGACTGGGACAACCAACGTTCAAATATTAGACAGAGGAAACAACAAGAATGCTAGAGAATTTCTAGAAGCTTGGCATTCCAGTAAAAAATCATCAATCGATAGACAAATCGAGATAGACAAAATTTATCAACCGATAAGAAAGAAACCTCACATGCAAAGGGTCAAAGTTCAAGTCAAAGAAACAATCAGTTCCAATCGAAGTAGCCTAGAGGGTGTGAAAACACACAAAAACAACCAATCACATCCAAGGTCACCCTCCAGGAGAGATGATTAATAAACTCGTGGAGAAATCTAAAGGTTCACTTCAATTGAAATTGAAGTATGCATGCTGAAGATGTCGCCTAGTGGTGGGGTGATGAAAGCTTCGCAAATTAACTATCCAGCTAAGCGAACATAACCACACCATAAACAGTTATATATGCTTGCTATGACTCATCAGTAAGCACAAGATGGAAACAAAACTTTCCAATGATTGTATGTACACCTTCCCAATGAGTATTAAAGTATGTAACGACAGAAGACATTAGACTTGATAACAGAATGTTTGCTATCGATTCGATATAAGCATATAGGGGAAATTTTGTACACTTTATATGAAAATTGTCATTTGCTGTACAGATCTTCGATGCTATGCTACGGCTGGATTTTATATCATGCCTTTTGTCTTCTTCTCATGACTTTCGTCTTTTGCCGCAATAACGGTTCATTTACTTACTCTCTTTGAATTCAATTCCATCTCTATGCAATTTGATGAACATCTGTTTACATTTGCAAGAGTCTGTTTGTAGGGGTTCGAATGGGGTCTCAAGTTTGATCAGTGATTGATATCAGTTAGAGAAACAATGAAAACCAGCTGGGCTGTCCTAGTTTGGGACTGATCGACAATATACACCTACTGGGTTTTGAACGCAGGAAATTCCAGTTACAAGACAAGCTTGTAGACCATTCAGCCAGTGGGATCCGACTACTGATAAACCTTTTCAGTAGCATATGCTACAGGTATACGAAATCCAGGTACACCAGCGTATCTTCCAAATCGCTTACTCCTCAGGATACTTTGTCGACTACCGTCAATCATCCAAGTATAAGGATGATAAAAGTCTAAATGTTTGTATTATCATGTTATGTACTGCTGCTGAGTGAGTTATTAGAGTTTTCCCCGTCGCCACTTATGTTATGTACTCGTCGAGTAGTTAATAGTCCTGATGCGGAAAGAGGGAAATCAGAAGACCACCAAGTTTACGATGATACTTGTATTTTCCAGACAAGGAAAATAATTGTCACACAAGTGTGTGAGTGGAAGGGTACTTAGATGTACGAAAACGTGGGAAACAAGAAAGTGATAAAAGTGTACTAAGCAAGAGTATATATGAAAATGACTAATACACATGAACCAATAAGACAGTCATCTTCCCATGATTGGTTGTAATGTCATGTGACAACAAGGTCATACATGTTTATTTAGTTAGTGGACAGACAAAAGGATATTGTCAGTTATAATGAAATATTGATCCATATACACATAGAAAAATATAACAGACTGTCAAAAACAAAACACACACTATGTGGATGCATATCATATCAGAAAAGAAATTAGACTACTATCGAAATGAATATAAAATCTCATGTAAAATGAAACAAACACACTACTACTCTGGTGAGAGCTGTCTGCCACCCGAAATCGGTAGACGGCAATTTACGTCAATATTTACGTCCCAAATCTTGGTCATTAGAAAAAAACAAAAACAAAGACTAACTCAACAACCAATCACAGCAGACTTTGCGTGAGCGGATACGGTTCGCAGATATATATGTATGGTCTGACCTTCAAAGAAATGACCAAACAAAGAGATGACAAAATAACTTACCCACGCGAAAACAACCAATCACAAGACTCTGTTTCTCTGCTGATAGTAACGAACAATAATGTACATAAATATATATATATATATCTATTGATTTTCTCAGTAGACGATTTGTTGCCTGACTCTTGTCTTCTGTCGTTACAGTACTACAACTTTATTAAAGTGAAACAACATGTGTGATTTTCGATTTCTTCAAACTTCTGTAGATCTTTGCTTTGTTTTCATTTTTATTTCCAGGGGATTACTTATGTGTTATATGTGCTTGCAAAGGTTGAAAAATGTAGTTGGTGTAAAAAAGCGAATAAAATTCTGGTCAATGATGGCGTTACATCGATTTGTCAGGTAAATTTGAAGGTGTATTTCCTTGACCATTATTATTATTATTATTATAAAGTAAAGATGAAAGGAATATCCCCCATATTAAGTTATAAGAAAAAGACGTAAACAGCAGAGAAAGTAACTGTTCCATGCTTTCTTTTTCTAGTTTATGTGCGTCAGTGGCACATCAGTTAGGCCGCTCGTCAACTATACACATGGTCTGTGGTTCGACCCCCGGCCGACGCACACCCGATATCAATAGTTGGCCTGCAAAATTGGGTTACCAATATCCCATGCTGAAAATTCCATACTTGTACCGAAAATACGGTGAGGAGTCAAGTTATAATGAAACAAATTGGAGTATATAATGCTGTTATATCGAAGTATTACATAATTTCCTGGTGATCTATTTCAATAGAAATTGGGTTGCAGATTTTATGAAGTGATCAGAGGATTCCGTTAAGTGTTTCACTATTTTCTATATATAATTCTTTGAATAAATTTTATGCTGAGGTTCCCAGGAGTGATCACTTGTACCAATTCTGTAACAGGTCAGATTATAGAAGCTGCGATGCAAAGACTTGGAAACGTAATCCTACCGAAAATCAAACCCAGAATTTGGATACGTTGCTTGGATGACACATTCGTGATAATTGAAACTAACATCACAATAATACAAGTAGGCTGGAGGATGTGAAAACACAGAAAAGCGAAACATCATGGCGTTCAAGGTCGCCCGTGCCATGACAGATGACTAATAAACTTGTGGAGAAAGCTAAAAGCTGACTTTAATTCAAATTGAAATATGCGTACTGAAGATGTCGCCTAGTGATGAGGTAATGAAAACTTGGAAAGTGAACCAGCTATCCGGCTTGCAGAACAAAATTACATCAAAATCATTCACCTGAGGTCCAGATCTTCTTCATCACATCTAGACTGATTATAATGAACGAAATATTCCCCTATTGAGTCACAAGCGAAAAAAGGCATAAAGAGCGAAGAAAATTCTCCCCTTTTTTGACAATTCATTTTTATATAAGCTGTACAGTCGTAATTATATTTAACAAAGAAATCATAAGAGCAATCAGATTCTGGTAAAATTTGTCCTCGAAGAACGTATTACGTAATGTAAGGTGTAACCTAGAAGGCGTAACTGATTGAAAGCTAGTAAAAAAGCAAATGGTGGAATGATGTAATCAGTGTGAGAAAATGACTAATCAATATAATTAAGTAGAATGGACAGGAACTAGTGGAAAGACGATGAAGTGTTTTCACAAAACCTGTATGAGAAAGCAGTGTAACAGAGTGATAATAAAATAACGATAATGAGAATAATAATAATAATAGTAAACTTACATAATAGAAAAGAAGCAAAATTATAATAAGGGCGTGAATCTGACCGTGGTACGGCAAGTGAATGTATGCAGTGCTTTCAAACTCAGAGATCCAGTTTCCGTTCGCGAATAACCAATGATTTAGCTACGTACAGATGACGTATTTGAAGTCTTTTCATGCGATATTGATAAACTTTATGTGACACTCCGAAGCATTCATGCAAGCGGTGGTGCTTGATGTCCACAGTTGAAAAGGCGTTCGAAGATAGAGCTGGTGGTATTCTTCTTTTCTCCTCTGGTTGGCTAGCCAAGCTGGACAGTGTTAAATTAAATAATATTTGCAGCCGGAGATCAAGTGTAGTCTACGGAAAGAAAGTATACATTTGGATATGGGTCAGGTCCACGGGAACTGCTTCCAAAGTGGGAAGCAGCACATACGATCACCGAGAAATGTGGTCCTGTATAAATCATCAGAAGAGGAGGCGAACAGAAACGTGTTAACTACAGTTAAATCCAGATGTGGATACATTGGGACAAGCCAGCCATTGACAAGACGCAGAAATAGTGAGTGGCACCCTGACGGTTGGGGCGGCTCCACTCAAAACTATTTGACAGACGGGGGAATATGTTCATGGATAATCCCCATCCAGGCATTAATGAAAACAAAACACGTAGATCAGCGAAGAGTCTCTTTTCGGCGAATTCATTTTCTTAGCTGTACAATCGCAAATATATATGCATTGTTTTGTATGTATGTGTACATTAAGTTTGTCAAACAAAGTTACAATTGGTTAAGGTTACTTTTAACTAAACAAGTGAAGGTTGGTAATACAGGTCAAGAAAATTAAGTGCTAATGAAACTAGGGTAGTAAAAAAATGATGAGTTGTCACAAACAGTTGTAATAATAATAGTGAGTTTTACTCAGGATGCACATAGAAACAAAGTAGATAATACGAAACTATGTAAGAGATCTAAGTGGATACAAGAATTATAATTGCTTAAGGTTATTTTAACTAAACAGGTAAAGGTTGGTAATATAAGTCAAGACCATTAAGTGCTAGGGTAGTAACAAAGGTGATGAGTTGTCACAAACAGTTGTTAAAAGAAGTTATGCAATAATAATATGAATAGTTTGATGAGTGAGTTTTACTCAGGATGCACATAGAAACAAAGTAGATAATACGAAACTATGTAAGAGATTTAAGTGAATACAAGAATTATAAGCAATTAAGGAACAGGCGAAGAAACAAAATTAAGTCATCAAAATAAAATAAAAGCTCAAAACAAATCAAAACATTGTTACCATGAGAGTAGAAGTGGTTGAGTAATCTTCTTTTGTATGCACAGCTCCGGTTTTTCCATGTGAATGGCCAGAGCTTCAGCGATGCAAAGGAGACGAAACCGTATTGCCTTTGATATGTTATTCTTGACTCTGTAGATTACTTTGAAGGAGGCGTTCGTTGAAATGCAATGATCAGTGTTGACCAGGTGTTCAATTATCGCACTCCTTATTGCACCAGTATTGCCTTTTCGCAACCATGCTGGATAATGTTCTTGAATTCTCTTGGACAGGATGCGCGTCGAACGACCGATGTACCTGGCTCCACAGCAGCAGGTGAACTGGTATATGCACATAGAAGTGGCCAGATGCGGGATCTTGTCCTTGAGGCTTCTGCAGATCAGTGGGCGACTGGAGAACACTATTCGTAGCGTTGCTGCAAAGAACGTTCTTCTCAGAGATGATGTGATCCTTCTCTTGAGAATATCGCTTGCTAAATCTCCCTTGAAATCCAAATTCATGTAGATTTTCTTTTTAGGCACAGTTAAAGTTTCGTTTTTCCGAATTATTGGTTTCATATTTTTGTCGATAAATCTTATTGGGTATCCATTTTGGATGAATATTTCTCTCAGAATATCTAATTCTGTTTCCAGAACGTCGGGACTACAGATGCGTCGGATGCGGGTAGCAAGTGATTTAATTAAGTTTCGCTTTTGTTGAATGGGCACCCAGCTATAGAAGCTTGTTAGTTGACCATTCCACGTAGGTTTTCTATGGATTGATCTTCTTAGGCTCCCATCAGCTCTTCTTGTCAGTTCCACATCAAGAAACGGAATTTTTGACTCGTTTTCCATTTCAAGAGTGAATTTTATTGCTGGATGGCAATTGTTAAATGTCTTCAGCAGCAGATTGGGGTCGTTGTTGTTGTCACAAATAATGAAAATGTCATCCACGTATCTTTTATACAGTCGCAAATTGTCGATGCTTGGCTTTAGTGAACCTCTCTCGAGGCTTGCCACGAAGCAATCTGATAGTAGTGGACCCAACGGAGATCCCATTGCAATACCATCCTTTTGTCTGTAGATGGTGTCGTTGAATGTGAACTGGACGTTCAGAGTGCATCTCAATAATAGTTCTTTCAAGTATGTTGTCGGTATTCCAATATCGAGGTGGTTGTCATCTATATATCTGCATATGAAGCAGACCGTTTCTGTGAGTGGGACATTGGTGAAAAGTGACTCGATGTCGAAGGACAGCATAATTTTGTTAGATACATTCGTGTCTTGTATGCACTCGATGAACTGGAAGGTGTCACGGAGCGAGTACGTACATAATTGCTTCCTTACAGGTTCCAGAATATCTGCTAGCCATTGTGCAATAGAGTGGTAAGGGGAACCTGACATATCCAGAATTGGACGAAGTGGGAGACCAACCTTGTGTACCTTTGGTAGACCATAAAGTCTTGGTATTATTGAACCTGTTGGCCGGATCTGATCGTAGATATCCCCACTGATTAGTTGACTAGCCTTCATTCTCTTCAAGACATCTGTGAGCTGCTTCTCAATCTGTTCCGTCTTGTTTCTTTCATTGGAAGGTTGGGAAAATTTGTCTTCATTCGACAGTATATCGTTCATTTTCTCGATGTAGTCTCTTCGATTCAGAAGCACTACACCCGCACCCTTGTCGGGTCGAGTTATAAGTAGATCTTTGTTATCTCTCAACTGTTTTAATTCCTCTCGGTGCCGCTTCGTTAGGTGGTTGCGGACTTTTGATTTTGAATTCAAGTATTGGTGGCAGCAGTCCATGATTGTTGACTTGAATCTCTGTAATTCGTCTTCAGAAGTTGGGCTGAGATCGTGCGTTTGGCTGATTAGATTTTCAAACTGGACCTGAGTATGGAGTTTGTCGGAGTTGAAATTTATATCGCAGAATTTAGGGCCCAGAGATAGGACTTCCAGTTGCACGTCGGTTAAATGTACTGAGGAATAATTGAACACAAACTTCGTGGGTTCGTCAGGAAATTTGCCTTGAGGTTTCATCTGCTTAAGGCTGTTGTTGAGCTGGGGAATATGTGTGATATATGCTAATGTAAAGACTGATCAGCAGTATATAGACGCAGATTGATAGGAAATCGATAGCCAAAATTGAAAACAACATTTTCAGTAAGTGTCTACAAAGGTAGAACTGTTTATTTTTGAAATCTGAATTTAGCGCTTACATTATGGCCAGGGAATAATCTCATTGGATGCCTGCTTCTCTCAAGATTTAACCTTCAGAAAACCAACAACCAATCAGAACGCTTTACTGTCTGCTGATCTACCCGGCCTTAAGTGTGGCTAAAATGTTTAATTTGGTGTGTTTTTCCGTAATAAAGGCGCGTCCGTTACTTCGTCTGTTGTCTTTTCCCATTACAGATTGGGTTAGAATAAGACAGATTCTGACTTATACGATTAAAAGCTGCCAGGTAAATACGATTACTTAATAATTTCAGTGATGATTGAGTTAGTTTGTTTTTAGCCTACTAGAAAATTTGCTGCCAAATTGTAAACAAAGATATGCCTGGCATTAAAGTTTCACCGTTTTCCTAAGGTTTGAGAAGCGCATTCCACTGATTGGCTAAACAAAGAGATTTTTATTCTTTTGCGTTCCTAGTGCGACATAGGGCTTCAAGCTTTAGCTTTGAAGTTTTTTCTTACGGAATGAGGGGTGCATAGCCTCACGGCTCTCCCTTCTTTATCAAGATTACAACCGGTTAAGGCAGTTAAAGATGTTTGTCAGCCGGGAGTTGAACGCCATACCACGTACATGGTCGGGCAACACTCCACTTCTGAATCACCGACGCACTAAACAGAGGTTGATACGTGAAAAAAAACATTTTTTGCATGTTGTTTGCAACGATATGGATCACGAATCGGCATTATATGATCACCTAAATGAGATCCATCCAAGTATCAAATTCACCATGGAATATGAACATAATAATGAGTTCAATTTCCTGGATCTAAATGTAAAAAGAACAAACGAAGGCATGGTCAAAAAGTCCATCTATAGAAAAGAAACCTGGACTGGACAATATCTTCACTATAACAGCTTTTGTCCCATAAGCTATAAACGTGGATTAGTGAGGACTTTGTATGACAGAGCCAGGAAGCTATGTTCACCAAACAGGGTCGAAGAAGAATTAGATTTCGTCGAAAAATGCCTAAGGGAAAATGGATACCCTAAGGGATTTATTCAGAAGTACAGCAGAGAAAAAGATGAGAAAGAAAAGCATCCAACTGTAGAAAAGAAAAAAGTGTTTATCTGTCTACATTACAAAGGAGATGCAGTGTCACAAAAGATTGACAAAAGACTGAAAGTGCAATAAATAGAAGCTTTCCGGCAGCAAAACTCATAACAGTATACAGCACCACTCCTTCTTTAATCCACTCAAAACTGGATAAATACCCTGCTGATGTCACCTCAAACTGCGTTTATGAATTCACGTGCACTTGCGGAAGCATGTACATTGGAAGGACAGAAAGGAGGGCTCCTATCCGGTTTTCTGAACATATTCCCAAAAACCTGTGCCTGAAAGGAAGCATATATTCCCAGAGTGCAATTACCAGACACATTGTTGATACCGGACATCTCGTAGAGATTTCTAAGTCCTTCAAAATATTAAATAGACAAAGGACAGCAAATTTACTACGATTTGCCGAAGCAATCGCAATCAAAAGACTTAAACCAGACTTATGCATACAGAAAGAGAGTGTGATTAACCTTTCACTCCCTTGGTAACAGAATTTTGATTTTGATTAGCCATCTAATTCAGTGATCTCAACTCACTGAACAAATCTTAATCTCATAAACTGTAACCGCTTTTGTTTTTTGAGTTGCTATGTGAACCTACAAGCTAACACTGTTCTGTTAATCAATTTTTTCTGTTTTCTCTCTTACCCCTCCCCCTCTTTTCAACTTTAAAAGCGTATAAATTGATGATGAAAACTTCAATTAAAAAAACATTGTAATGCTTTCATTTTGGATGTGTCAATTTTATAGTATCTCTTCTCTACCACCACTCAAACATTTAAGTATGTTATTATCATGATCTATATAACCATTGTAATTTCAGGTAGTCTGCAGTCAGCTGATGAGAACCTGTGAAATAGAATGACGATGTCAGTTTATACTGCAAATTTCGTCTTCCTTTCTTTATCGAAAAACATTTTTGTTATTATTTGTCTTTTTTTAAATTCTAATTCTCTGTCTGCTTCTCTCATTTTTTACTTTAAATTTATTTGTTAGACTAACTCCAGCCTACCTATTAGTCATCATTATTTTCACTGGATTATTAATTCATGTGTATGATGGACCATTCTTCCCTCAAGATCTGAATACAACTGTAATGGCAAATTGTCGAAAAAACTGGTATATTTTATATTTGAATAATTTGATTAACTCAGAATCCATGGTGAGTGCATTTACATACATATGTATATGAATTTATAGAATAAGTTGTGTTGAAGTTCACGCATAGTACGATGTATACAAATGCAAGATCATTAAGCTTAGACCACTGGTTAACGTCGTACAGAAAGCTATACAGTCAGTTTGACAAAGTCACCACGGGAAGTAATTGTCAACGAGACAGTGAAGTTGTCAGTGTCTTTAATAAAGTTGATTCCTCTCTCAAACAAGGCAGGTTATATAAGAAGAAATAAAAAAGAGGAGGGGAGAGCACCACATTGAGGAACACTGACTTCAGTAAGCAAAAAAGAGGAAGTTTTACCTTTATATACAGTATAATGCTTGATGTTTAAAAAATAGGAGTGAAATCATTTGACAGCCCAGAAAACAGTTAGTGTCATGGAAGGCTCATTTAACAAAAGACGTCAGCTAACTAATGAAAATATTACATAAAATTTCGGGTAAAGCAGGTAATTCTGTTATACACTGAAGTGATTCGGCCATGTATGATTCATGCCTCAACCTCACGTCTCCATTGCGCTCGGTTCTCCGCCAACATTTTTACCTGGCTACACGTCTACCCACATGCTTTCATCTCCTCTTCGATTCACCGCCTCCTTCACGTCATTCTCGCACTGACAACCAATTTGCCACTTCCCGTTAGGGTTCCACCCGAGTGATGGCCTGCATTGCCAGTGGTGTCACTTGATGGTTTATTTTCTCAGAGTATGGCCAGCCAATCCACCTCCATTTCCTCCTGCAGATTTGTTGCACATTCGGTTCCTGGTTGGTTCGCTCCCAGAGATCGTTGGTACTGATCTATTCTGGCCAGCCATCTGATCTTCAGTGGTATTGAAAGAAGACAGTTGTTGATGAAGGTCCGTAGTTTGTTCGAAGTGACCTACGTTTCGCGGCGCCAAGTCTCTGATCCGTATAGTGAGTAGCACTGAGTTTACATTGGGGTTGAAAATCTGGGTCTTGTTTCACATGTTCAGTAGTGCTGTTGACTTCCCGCAGACTTCACAGAAACGAAAGCTTGTTTTGCTTCCGTGATCTTCGCTTACATAAAATCATCATTAGTTCCGTTCGCTTAAAGTTGAAACGATGCTTCACAGGTAGTTAGGTGAAGGAGGTTGCTTCTCTCAGATTTCCCTCACTTACGCTGGCCGATTTTTGTTTATCGTTGTTGCTGTTGCTGTTGGCCAGAAATCTTCATCACCTCTGCCCTCTCTATGTTTACTGAAGTGAAGTCCTATCTTCGCTGGATGCTTCTTCTGCGAACTTGTTGCTTTTCATTTGCATATCTTCCAGTTGGTGATAAAATCAGACATATATCATCGTCAAAGTCCACACCCTCAGAGTTTTTCGTATGGTTCCATTTTTTACCGGTTTCCTCGTTGCCCGCTGTGTGTCTGTCGCATTGTCCCGTCCACCGCAATCAAGAAAATCATTGGATACAGTGGGCAGCCTTGTCTTACTCTTGTCTTAACTTCGAAGGATTCCATGAGTTTCCCGTCGTGGATTACTTTGCATGCAGCATTGTTTAACAACTGTTGGATAAAGTATATAAATGTTGGCGACACCTCATAGTAGCCAGGTAGTTTCCAAATCACCTCTCGATCGACGCTGTCCGCTAGAGGCCTTTTCAAAGTGTATGAACGTGAGTGAGGTAGACAGCTGACTGTCATTCCAAGTTCTGTTCAATGATGATGCGTTGTGTAAAACAACCAATTGGTCGTCCAAAATACGAAACATATTTCGTGATCAAAATCTTAATGAGATGACGATTGCTTAACTAGCCAGGGATCGTGCACGAATGAATAAAAATAACAGGGTAGAATAATGAATGGCGTAGGTGTTTGACCACATGCCTTCAGCTCAGTGAGTTAGCATAAACGTTGGAGATCAGCATCCGATGATTAGTGATGAATGCTGTGGCTAATAATCTGAAGAAAATTATCTACTGCCGCAACTCACGCTTCTCCCTAGTGGAAGTGTCAGTATCCAAAGACGTAACCAGACGAAAGTAAAAACCTAATAGTAGCACCATTAGTAAAACTCTTCTAATGCGATTGATGACAGTGAGTTGGTTGATGATCGTTTACCTATGCTAATCTAGAGCATGTACATCGTTTTGTTGATGTTCGTCAGTTGGATCCTATGCTTTGTTTGCTTCATGTTCAGTGCTGAACCCACCTGGAAAAGAAAACAAGAATACTGAGAACTTGACTGAGAAAAATGTACCAGAAATAGTGTTTGATTTAGGGTCGAAAACATTTCGTCTTTGCATCTGGTGCTAAAACACAGTCACAAAAAGTACTTTCAGTTTATGATGCGGGATACAATGAAAAATAATTTATGTGCATGAAAAAATATACCATAAGCGTTACAGTAGTTTCTTAAACAAATGGGTAGGGAAAATGAATGTTATTCTGTAGGACTGGTATGCAGCTGCCCTGAAATCCCCAAAAATTCATCCAGAATATGTTTTCTCTTGTGTCTTGATAGCAGATTCTGTTGGCTCCAGTGTGCTGATTGTTTCTTTTTCCGAGGACTAACATGGATTGAGTCAGCTGTGTATTTCTCGGAGCACATAATTGGAGGCTCATGGGATCGCCTTCTGGGTAAACAGGTTTCAGACTATCGATACTAAGAGAGTTTTTGCAGCCTTTTATGTCTAGGATAAAGAATTTATCCTTCCATTTAATGAATTTATATGGTTCATCGTATGGGGTTCCAGAGGGCAACGCACTGAGTCACGACGAACAAATACATGAGAACACGTTTTTAGATATGGATCGAAAAAGACGTCTGTGGATTGTAGTCGGAAGGGAGCAGGTTTAACTGAACGCATTGACTTTGTAAGCCTTCTCACTTACGAGGCGTGATCTACAGCTGATGGGAGACCAGAGGGTGACGTATATATATACATAATACGTCAACTTTAATTTCAGTCGTTCTTAAGCTGTAAAGTTCGCTTACATATTATTCAAGTATTTACTGATTATGAGATGCAAAATACATGTTTAAATTCTTCTTGAAAAGGTTAAGATATTAATTTTGATGTGGTTGTGTTCTCATAGCTGGATTGCTAATTTGCGAATCTTTCATCGGCCCACAACTAGGCGACATCTTCAGCACGCATACTCAAATTTGAAGTGTGCTTTAGATTTCTCCACGAGTTTATTAATCATCTCTCCTAGTGGGTGACCTTGGACGTGATTGGTTGTTTTTGTGTGTTTTCACACCTTCTAGGCTACTTGTGGTATTGGAACTGATTCTTTCTTTGACTTGAACTTTTACCCTTTGTGTGTGAGGTTTCTTTCTTATCGGTTGATAAATTTTGTCTATCTCGATGTGTCTATCGATTGATGATTCACTGCAATACCAGACGGGCTTCTAAAAATTCGGTCACATTCTTGGTGTTTCCTTTGTCTAATATTTGAACGTTGGTTGTCCCAGCAATGTCCGTGGTTGTCTGTATGTGTGTATGATATGAGCGAGGGAGTGGATGTCATTTCTTTTGACGGTTAGGTTATATTCGTGGACACGAAGACGAAGAGGTCGTCGTCCACTTTGGCCAATGTAGTGTTTTCCGCAGTTGTTCAAATTTATTTTGTAGATGATATTGGTTTTGTCTTCTTTCGTTGTTGAGTCTGTCTTTTGGTTGACATAGAATTGAGTGAAGTGACTTTGTTGGTTTGTGTACGATATCATGGAATGAATAGAAAATGTTGCATTCAGCTAAATGAGCAAAGAAATAGTCTTCCTAGTAGAAATATTGTTTATATATAACAATTTCACTTATTATATTATCTAATTATTTGAAGAGTCTGTTTGTAGGGATTGGATTTGTTTCAAGTCTGACCACAGATTGGTATCACTTAGAGAAACGGTGAAAACCAGCGTAGTGTACCAAAAAGCTGTTTTGTTCTAGTTTGGGATTGATTGACAGTAGGCATTCGTCACACGGGGGTTCGAACCCAGGACCTTCTGGTTACAAGGCGGTGAGCCCGTAGAACATTCAGCCACTGGGACTCGACTCGACCCAATGGTGCCCATAGTTTCAAACGCCAAAACGTTATCCACTAAACCACTTGGGCCACGAGAGCCACCTCTTGTGCACGGGTCATATTAATTATTGAATTGAATTTTTGATTTTCCCGTTGACTGATTGGACCGAAGTGCTCGGTCTTAGGTTGACATGTCGGCTTCTTGTGCAGATGCTTCGACGATGTCTGGGCATTTAATTAGTATACGATTGGTGGATGGTGGCTAGCAGTGGATGCACTCCTAAAAAAGAAAAGAGAACTCTTCCCAGAACTCCCGCCGACGTCTCCGAGTTCGGTTGCGTTATCGCGCTGGGCACACACTGAATCAAAGATCCAACATGCACCAGTTCCTTTTGTATGAATAAGTTTCTCAGATTTTACACCGGTAACCAGAGCACGAGGAAGGTGGCTTTCGGCTTGGTCATCAACTTTATAGTTAGCCTTGATATATTTAGCAATTGCTTGACGGCTTGATCCTCCACGTTCTTCAATTCTTTAAGAGCCTTCTTTATCATATCGCCATAAGGAGGATGAGCAGACGGAGCCTTCTTTGCTTTTGCTGACTTCTTCACACCAGTAGATGCCTGAGCGGCTGGAGCAGAACTTCCACTAACTGCAGCAACAGTCATTTTAAACTCGCTCTAAACAGACAGGTCACACGATTGGCAGACCACTATCACAAATACTTCCCAGACTGCTGTCAGCGCCTGTGGTGGGCGGCTCAAACTAATTGGTGAACTCAAATGTTCTGTTTCATTCCGTAACATCAAATTCACAGTAATTTGCTGCGTCACCAAGAGTGATTTAAATCTTTTGGGACTTGATTGGTTCGATCGTTTGCATCTGGCTGATGTCCCACTAAATTCGCTATGCAATGCAGTCAAGAAGCATAAATGTCAGACAATTCCGGACGAAGCCGAAGCCGCAAACCCAACAGGCAGACGTCAACAACAAGCTCAACAGTTCCAGATAAACCCCCAAGAAAACACCCTACTAATCATCCATCTTCTCAAAAGGGGAGGTGATATATATCCATATAATATGTGTGTTTGTTTGACAGTCTGTATATTTGCTAGGTATATATGGATCGATATTCCATTATAATTAGCCAGTCATGTTAAGACTGTCTATTGATTTGTTCGTTTTGAATATTCGCTCCACACTTGTTCGGACATTCATATTTTTGCTCTTACACTCTTGTGTGACATTCTGATTCTCCGGAGTTTTGGAAAATAGAAGTATCATCGCAAACCTAGTGGTCTTCTGATTTCCGTCTTTCTTGCATCAGGACTATTAAATTCTCGACCAGTACATAACATTAGCCTATGATTTACACCTCTTCCAATCCATGATATGGCACGACCACAGCGAATGATATCCGTGGAGAGTATTTATCCACACACTTGACCTGCTTTACTTTACCCGTCACCACTTCCCACTAGAACCCCAGGTAACTAACTACCTATCTGAACAGGGCCAGTCATTAGTCAGCTCATGATGAAATCCTGAAACCAATCAAATCCCTGCAAACCAACACTTGAATATCACTCTGATGCTCACTAGTGGCCGACCATATTCAGGTAAATAGTTACTCAGGAGTCTAATGGGATATTCTAACTAGTGGGGTACAGCAGGTCGAGTGTGAGGACAAGTACTCACCATGGATATCATTCGCTAGTGATCGCGCCAAATCATGAACTGGCAGAATTTGGAATTCACAGGCTAACTATTAGATCGGGTTGCGTTCCAGTGGCTGAATGTTCTACGAGCTCGCCGCCTCGTAACCAAAAGGTGCTTGGTTCGAATTCCGTTAATGAGTGGGTGAGTACAACCAAAAGGGTACCAAACAAAGACGAATTAGCTATCCAGCACTCCCAAGTTTTCCAGTGGTTATCTAACCGATGTCAGCTAATGCTGAAATCTTGAAACAAATCAAGTCTTTGCAAACAATCTCTTGAATATCTTGTAATTTTTTTTACCTCATCTTATGCTGAGTATAAATCAGCTTACTAATAAATCATGTGTAAACCTGGGGCACTGTTGTAGTAAGTAATTCTATATTAGTTTGTTTATTGGATGTATTACACAGTGAAACAGTATTACTATATACTGGATGAACAAGGTTTCATGTTCATAATCATATCATCAGTTATAATCCCACGACTTCGAACCTTGAGTTTTATAGTTTCTCTGTCCTCTCTTATTTGTCACAGGGGTAGGAGAATTTCCCAGATAGCCAACTGGACATGTGTTGAATCATTCCTATTACACGTATTTTCATTCAGTTGATTCGATAAACAAAGCTTCCGTCGTTATCAATCTCTCCCTCCACTTAGCTGTGACATTAGATTTTAAAACTGTCATCCTATCCCATCCAGGCTATTGTATGGTTGTGTGTAACTGCATGCAATGAGTGCTATAGCTGAACTATTCTCTAGATTTCTTATCTTATTTGGGTCAACAAATCTAGATTTTGCTGGTAGATTTTAATGTTCAGCTAGTCTGACTGACTGCCCCTGTTCTACTAGTTTGACCTGTATATTTGGCCTGACAATCATTGCAGGAAGGGTATTGGGTAAATTAAATTGTTTTGTTTCGATGGCTTTACAGGATCCTTCAATCAAACAAAACTTATTTCTAATTGAGTTTGGGGATGGCTTGAATGCCAGACACTTTTGTTCCTGTCCGCCTTGTTAAGAATTCTGCGTACAGTTTCCGAGGTTCCTTCCTTGCATGGAATTGCTACTGATGATTTAGATACCTTATGTTGGTGTTGTCTTGAGCATATTTGACATGCATGCCATCACTAATATTATTATTATTATTATCACTATCACTACTAACATTATTTATTTTTAATTTTACATTTCCCTACATATTTCCTGACTAATTAATCAGAGTAATTATTCAGTTTCACAGCCTCTCTTACATCCCTCACTTCCTGTCTTAGATTTCCCTTGGTACTCTATTTAGTTTCACTGCTCTATTATTTAAACATTTCACCAATCCTATTTTCACTGGCATAGGATGGGATGATCGGAAGTCCAAATATCTGTTTGAATGTTTAGGTTTCCTGTAAACACACTAATGTGTGTAACTTCCCACTTTCCTTCCTGTTTACACTACACCTGTCCGCCAGGATCACTGAAAAATCCGACTACACCAAAGACGACAAATAGGCGAGGACAAAGAAAGCTATAAAACTCAAGTATCGAAGTCGTGTGATTATAATTGATGAAATGATTATGAACAACAAACTTTGATCAAAACGTCATCCAGTACGTAACAATACTGTGTCACTGTGTGATACATATAATAAACAAACTAATATGAGATTAATAATGAATCATTTCTTCAAGAATTTTTTTTTTGTAGGGGTTTGATTTGTTTGACAAAAATCGGTGGCAGAGTAGTTAGGACTCTTGCCGACCATGCACATGGTCCGAGGTTCGATCCCCTGCCGACGAAGCACACCTGATATCTATGGTCGGCCTGCAAAATTTGGGCTACCGATATCCAAGCTGAAAATTCCATACTTGTACACAAATAAGTGTAGAATCAAGCTGTAAATCAAAAATAAAATAAAAAAATTAAAAAAAATTATCAGTAAGAGAAATTTTGAAGACCAGCAGAGTCCACTAGATAACCCTTTCGTCATAGTTTAGGACTTATTGACAGTAGGCAACCACTGGGTTTTGAACCCCTTGCCTTTCAATTACAAGGCAAGCCGATGAGTCCCGAAATAGGACGAAACAGTCATTCACTTTTCTCTGATTTCCATTGGCTCTCTAACTAATATCTATCGATGATCAAAACTAAAATAAAAGGCATCTATTTTGTTGAGGTTTATTATTTTTTTATAGCATTGAACACAAAACATTTTAACTGAATTTATCTACGTTGAATACGTTTCATTTCAGTGTTTAAACTGGTCGTGGTATATTGCAAACGATATACAATTCACAATTATTTTGGCACCAATCTTCATCACCTTGATCATGTGGTAAGAGTGTTAGTTAAAGCGTATGATTATTGTAATTATTATGATCACTATTATTGCAGCCATCATAATGGAAAGTTTTATACTCTCTTTGCTAAAGAGAAGATTAGGTTGATTAACCTTTTTGGTGTTATTTAAACTTACATATACAAAACACGACCGTTGAGAGTAGATTTGAAAAGGTTACAGGTTTCTTCTATAGGTGTCAACTTTCAATTACTTACTTAGACCAGTATAAACGATAATAATGAGGTTTGATGTAAAGTATTAGATAGGTGGCAGAAGCCAATGAACACCAGTCAAAGTCTTCATTGATTGGTATGGTTATGGTATGTATCGTTACACTTGGTGATCAGTACGTTGCGATCTCTGTCTCACGTTAGGTGGTTTCACAAGATAAGTAATGTTGATGTTAGGCGTAGAGTGTTGGGCAAAGAGGGAAAATCAATCGACGAGGCTATAAAGTTACATAGACTAAGATGGCTAGGTCAGTCACGTGCTGCGCATGCCTAACCACCGCCTCCCCGGTTAATGGGTGAAAAGAGAGGCAAAAAAAGAACACTTAAGGGCCGGGGGGCCGGAAAGAAAGTTTTTTCCCTCCTTTTTTTTCTTTTCTTGAGGTGATTAAACGTTGTCATTGGGTAGGCTAAAACCTGTTTCAACCAGAAATGACAACTGCAGCCTTCAGGTAGAAGTAGAATGATTTTGTCATATTTTGATGAGACAATCTTTGCTGTCCGACCTTATACAATCAATCAAATTAGTTGTTTGTTGTATGTTTTGTCCAATAAAGGTGTTGTTGTTGTTGTTCTCGACGACATATGTCATTCTTGTCTTTTGACTTTTTCTGATAGCATCACTTCAACAGAAAGTACTTTTCAAGAAGAACAGCTGAATTTAATATTCAGACGAATTATGCATTGCATTCAGTGTCGAACATAAATCCTCATATGACTATTCTTCTTATTTCACCAATTTGTTGTGAATTTCATGTAGTAAACTTCAGTTCTAAAGTTCCATATTAATTTGTTTATTAGATAGATATATCATATACAGTGTGAAACAGTATTATAACATACTAGATAACAAAGTTTCGAACACAACCTATTCCTATTCGTCGTCATAGAGGTCATAGAATTTTTAAAGATGTCCGGCTGGACAGGTGTTCAATCATTCCTATTACACGTATTTTCATCCAACTGATTCGATAAACAAAGCCTCCATTGTTGTTATCAACCTCGCGCTTTCACCCTGTTGTCAAATTAGGATTTTAGATATATCATCTTATCCCATCTTATTTCTGTGGTTGTGTGTATAGCTGCATGTAGTGAGTAGTACAGCTGCTGAACTATTCTCCTGATTTCTTATCTTATTGTGGTCAAGTAATCTAGATTTTGATAGGTCTTTGTACTGCTCCGTTAGTCCGACTGACTCCGTTCTACTACTACTCTGACTTATTTATTTGACCTGACGATGATTGCAGGCAGGATATTAGATAAAGTAAACTGTTTTGTTAAATTGGTTGTTCCACGGTATCCTTCAACTGACAAAGTTAGTTTCTAATTGAGTTTTTCGGAAGTCTGAATCCCAGCCACTTTTACTCCTGCATTGTTAAGAATTCTCCTTAAGGTTCCTGAGGTTCCCTCTTTGTATAGAAGTACTGCTGATGATTCAGATTCCTGATTATTGGTGTTGGCATTATCTTGCGCATGTTTGACATGCATATCGTCATTAATAATTAATGGTATCATTATTATTGTCAATATCATTGCCATTATTATTGTTGTTAATTTTATTTTTACATTTTCCTACATACTTTCGGATTAATTTATCAGGGTAATTATTTAGTTTCATAGCCTCTCTTATATGGCTCACTGTCTGTCTTAGACTTTCCTTGGTACTACTCAGGCTTTGTGCCCTATTTTCGCATAAATATTTCATCAATGACACTGTTTTACTAACACAGATAGAATGGAATAATTCGAAATCCAAATATCAGTTTGAATGTGTTGGTTTTCTGTAATCACACTAGTATGTGTTTAACTTCCCATCTTCTTTCCTTTTTACGCTACAGTCTAACATTGGAAGCTCCCTAAGGTTCTGACTTTCCAATTCATCATAAGTGAATTGAATTGCCTCCACCTTTGAGTTGATGTGTTCGTAAAATCTGTCTATATCCTTTGTTTTAAGTACAGTGAATGTGTCTTCTACCTACCTCCACCATACTTTTGCGGTACGCCTAAACATTTCAATTGCTAAGTTTTCCCACCTATCCATAAATATATCTGCCACAATCAGGGATATTGATGACCTCACTTCCAAAAATAAGGTATTACATGTCATTTCCCCAATACTTCCAAAGTTCCAGATACAACCTGTTCATCTAATATTTCATTATCGAGTATTGTAAAATTGTCTTTAAAATGACAGGCATATTTAAACGTCATCTGAACAGTTTGGTGATACATTCTAAAATTTTGATACACCTGATCTCAATGGTTTGATGATAAATTTTCAATTTTCGATACTCACTGACTTAGGTTTGCATTAGAGAAGGAGTACAACTTTTTTTTAATGTGTCAGATACACATAGCATATTAATCTGAACAAATATAAATGTTATATCAACAAGTTCCTTTTGCTTGCTGATTACTCCTAGTTTTCAATATTACAGGAATGTAATAAGCACTATTCTCCACAAACTAGTCATTCGATTTGGTGTTATCATAATTGTCTACTTAGAAATGTTTTGACGAAAACTTACTTACCAAGTATACTGTGTGGTGACTAGTCTACAGTTCATAAAACTACAGTGCACATTAATAAGGCACTGTTTTGATTGGACACTAGTAACTAGTGCAATGTGTCTAGTCCTTTCTTTGGTGCAGCCTGAATTCTATCAGTCAGTCAGGTTTGCAATGTGGCCACTATTCTAGGTAGCTCACCATCACGGTGCACATTGATTTGATGATATATTAGATAGTTGGAGGCAATCGGCCACTGGAAGCCTTGCTTGACCTAGGTTTCTTGCTAGTTGGCACTCGTCAGAAGGGGTGTCTCAGAAGCGACATGAGTTCCTTCATGGCTGAAAATACGCACTGCCGACTGATGAGTGCCAACTAGCCTGAAACCTTAAATCCAAGGCTTTCTACCGATTGCCTCCAACTATCTAATAAAGCACTGTGTCAACAACTACTTCCCAATATGTATATGGCAAAAATCCCCACTCAGACATTTAGAAGACAAAAGCAAAATTTGAGCAGAGAATATTCTCTTCGATAATTTCGTCTTCTGATTATATGTGTGTATATTTATAAACATAGAATATTCTAGAATAATCGCGGTTAACAATATTTGTATGTTTAAAATATTATTGATTTATGAAGGACACAGTGGAATTACTACAGTTCAAGAAAGACGCTTCAGTTATAATAAGCATAAAAGTGTTATAGTAAATAGAATGTCAAATAAAATTAAAAATACAACAACAAATTAAGGATCATTAAAACCTTGTTGGACAAGGTAAGGAAAGGTTGGGTCTGAACCAGCCAACTTCTTCTTTTACATACATAGATTAGGTTTCCTAATGTAGATTCCAACAGCCTCAGCAGTATGTGTGATAGACAAACTCTAAAACTGAGATTAGCTGGTATACGGTAGATGATTTTGAAAGCCACCTTGTTAACATCAATTTCATGCTCTGTTTCTACGACATGGAACAGTAGGGAATAATGAATGGTCTTTGTTTCTCCCTTGCTTAACCCCTGGTTTAGGATTGTGTTTGGAAATCCGGCGATAAGCATGCCTAATTGTACGGCCTATATAACGGACTGGCTCGACAGGAGCATTCAATTTGATAGATAAACACAAAAGAGGCGAAATTAGATAGTTTAACTTTAACACCCGAACGTTTTGAAGAGACAGTATACTTCAGTGCATTGAATGCTCTTCGTTTTACCGCATTCCTCAGTTGTTGTGTTATCACCGAAGAAGAAGTGAACTTCTAAGAATAAAGCCTTTTTTCGGGACTGTCGGTTGTTACTTTGGCCTGCCTTGATTGATATTCCTAACGATGAATTCTTCTTGATAACCGTTCTCACTGAGCAACTGTCAAGGAACTTAACCCTAAGTTCTTATTATTTGCGAAGACGCTCGAATCGACAATTATACTATGCGCAATATCGAGTTTAACGCCAAAACACAAGGAATGGCAAGAAATTGTATTCTTCGGCAGTTAAATTCAATACTCTGTACAAAGTGTATAAAAAATGTTTTTTCAGGAATGTATTGTACTTTTATTCGTCTTCTTTCAACTTGTACATGATCGAATCACTCGCACCTTCGAGTTGCCCACCAATGGCGACCAAGGCCAATGAACAAGTGTTCAATGTTCACAATCATTGACAGCAACTGTTTAGTAGCATTAAGCTCTTTATTAAAACTTTTATCAGAGTACATTGCTCTTGCTCTGTGGATCAGGCACCTTATTAGATTGTATTGGTATTTCAAAAGTACGAAGCTGAAAAAATGAATATACTGACAGTCACTTGATGTAGGCTTTCTACATACATTTTTCTTTATTATACCCGTGCTGTCTTCTGTTTCTAAGTACGTCTAGGAATGAAATACCAGAGTTACTTTCTTTCTCGATGGTAAAATTTACTACAGGATGAACATCGTTAAATTTTTCCAGGATGTTCTTTGCTCCATTCCTCATTTTTTTGAGAATCGAAAATGTGTCATCCGTGTAAGTACATAAGAATTCTAGTTCATTACTGAACATCTTTCAAAGTCGTATCGTCTATCTAGTTTGGCAAGGAAAATGTCGGCTAAAAGTGGTCCTAGTGGTGACCGCATAGATTTTGTCTGTATAGTTCCTTGTTGAATAGAAAGTGAACACTCATTGTGCATTTGAAGAAAAACTGTTTTATAAAAGCTATAGGAACGTCGACATCGATATTTCGTCTCATGAGTTCCTAGCATACGTAATCTATTGTTTCCATAATTGGTGCACATTGGTGGATAAGAAAGATACATCAAATGATATCATGTATTTATTATCAACATTTAAATCTCTTATCTTTTCAACGAATTCAATTATATATATATGTATACAATTGGTGGATGGCGGCTAGCAGTGGAATCCAGCCAAGATGCGCATTTCGTCCTATTTGGGACTCGTCAGCTGGATGTACCTACATTTCTCAGTGAGTGATGATGTTCCCACCGAGGCTCGAACCCAGTACCCATAGTTTCAAACGCCAAAGCGTTATCCACTAGACCACTTGGGCCACGAGAGCCACCTCTTGTGCAGCGGGTCATACTAAATATTGAGACCGAGCACTTCGGTCCAATCAATCGACGGGAAAATCAAAAATTCAATTCAATAATTAATACGACCCGTTGCACAAGAGGTGGCTCTCGTGGCCCAAGTGGTTTAGTGGATAACGCTTTGGCGTTTGAAACTATGGGTACTGGGTTCGAGCCTCGGTGGGAACATCATCACTCACTGAGAAATGTAGGTACATCCAGCTGACGAGTCCCAAATAGGACGAAATGCGCATCTTGGCTGGATTCCACTGCTAGTCACCATCCACCAGTTGTATACTAACTAAATGCCCGGACATCGTCGAAGCATCTGCACAAGAAGTCGACATGTCAACCTGAGACCGAGCACTTCGGTCCAATCAATCGATGGGGAAAATCAAAAATTCAATTCTATATATATATATATATATATTAGTTAAAACAATTAATCACTTTGAATAGAGCATTAAGAAGACAAATTTCACGAGATAATATCGTCATTTCGTACAGCCGCTTTACAACTAACATGATTAAAATAATAAAATAAAGTTCATGACAATTACTCAGTTAAATAAAAAACAAAAGTACATACTAATGACCAATCATATTTAGATGGGTCATATTGTCCATGGTAGGCGAAGATTGAAGTCTGTTGTTTTTTGTACACACAGTTTAGGCTGTATGTGATTGATCCCAAAGGTGATTCCATCACTTCAATAACCAACCTTGAATTAGAGTTATGTGAAGTAATTGTGAAATAGTCATTAATATTGATTGATTTTGAGACCTAACATTAATAAGTGTTTTGCAATGGATGATGCTGGATTTCTATTCAGATTAATCTCATTGAGAGTTTCTATATGATTCAGTAACCAATTTTGAACATGTTCTTTTCGACGACATTGGAACATTCGATTGGTTCTACCTATATAGGTGTCATCGCAGCTGCAGATGAACTTGTAGATACAGTTTGAAGTAGAGTCCACAGAATATCATCCTTTAATCGTAACGACAGTGATCGAAATGTTCGTAAGTGAGAAAAAGAGATGCGGCGTAGAATGTGCGTTTGATGGTTGACCGAAGTCTAAATACGATTCGTCATTAGTATATACTTTTGTTTTTTATTTAACTGAGTAATTGTCATGAACATTATTTTATTATTGTTAACTTCATCGACTTTGAAAAGGCCTTCAGCTGACAGCGTCGATCGAGAGGTCATTTGGAAACTACTTCGCTACTACGGGGTGCCATAGATAATTATACATCTCATCCAACAGTTATATGACAATGCTGCATGCCAAGTAATCCACAACGGGAAGCTTACGGAATCCTTCGAAGTGAGGACGGGAGTAAGGCAAGGTTGTCTACTATCGTCAATGATTTTCCTGATTGCAGTAGATTGGATAATGCAACAGACACACAGCGGGCAATGAGGAAACCGGCATAAAAAGGACCCATACAAAAAACTTGGAGGATCTAGACTTCGCCGATGATATATGATTGATTTCCCACAAACTGGAAGATATGCAAGTGGAAAACAACAAGTTGGCATAGGGAGCATCAAAGATAGGACTTCAGGTGAACATAGAGAGTGCAGAGGTGATGAAGACTCCTGGTCAACAACAAAAACAGCAACAAAAACAACAGACACCAATCAGCATAAATGGGAAGAACCTGAAAGAAACAACAACTTTTACCTACCTGGGAAGCATCGTTTCATCTAAAGACGGACGGAACTGACGGGGATATCAAAGCAGGGTTCTGGAAAGCAAGACAAGCTCTCGTTTCTCTCAAGTCTGTGTGGAGATCAACAGCATTGCTCAGCATCAAAAATAACATCCGGATTTTCAACTCCAATGTGAAGCCTATACGGATCAGAGACCTGGCGCGTCATAAACAGCATCGCAAACAAACTACAGACCTTCATTAACAGTTGTCTTCGCTCAATACTTCACTCAAGATCAGATGGCCGGCCAGAAAAGACCAGCAACAGGGATCTCTGAAGCGAACCAACCTGGCAGGAACCGATTGTGAAACAAATAGGCAGGAAGAAATGGAGATGGATTGGCCATACTCTTAGTAAGCAAACCATCAAGTGACATCGATAGACAAGCCCTCGAGGGGAACCGAAAGGGAAGCGGTGAGTTGGTCGTGAGTTCAAGGGTGACTTGGAGGAGGTCATGCGAGGAGGAGATGAAAGCATGTGGGCAGACTTGGAGAGGGGTGAAAAAGTTGGCAGAAAGCCGAACGCAATGGAGACGCGTGGCTGAAGCCCTATGTTCCTCTAGGAATTAAAGGATATAATAATAATAATGTTAGTTGTAAAGCGGTTGTAGATAAACTACGAAATGACAATATTATCTCGCGAAATTTGTCTTCTTAATGCCTTATTCAAATATATATTAGTGTTTGAATATAAGCCTATGATTTCTAATGCCCTTTTCTATCCCTATGCAGGAGACGACTGGCAGGAATTATACTGGCATTGTCAATAATTATATCTTCCTCAGTAATCACTTACTGTGTTGCATATGATAATTCATACGGTATTATGCAGTGAGTTTATTACGCCTATTGTATTTAGCTGTCATAAACACTTTTATTCCTTTAAAGAATGAATCATTTTCATTCACTGATCAATTAAGTGTTTGCATACATATAAATGATCATTTATAATATAAGTGTGAATGTAGTTCGATAAAGCATTAGGAGTTCTATTTTGATGCAGTTGTGTTCCTCTGAGCTAGATGGATGGTTTATTGGGAAGCTTTCATTGCCCCCACCCTATTAGGCAAATTCTTCATCACGAATACTTCAATTGGAATTAAAGTGAGCTTTTAGATTTCTCCATGAGTCTATTGGCCATTTCTCCTGGTGGGTGAACTTGAACGTCGTCATTGGATGTCTCGGTGTGTTTTCACACCCTCTAGGCTACTTGTGCTATTGGTATTCATTGTTTTCCTGAACTGAACTTGAAGCCTTTGTGTGTATGTGTGTGAGATTTCTTTCTTATCGGTTGATGAATTTTGTCTATCTTGATGTGTCTATTGATTAATGATTCACTGGAATACTAGGCAGGCTTCTAAATATTCTCTAGCATTTTTGTTGTTTCCTCTGTCTAATATTTGAACTTTAGTTGTCCCAGTTGAACTAATGTCCGTGTGCAGTGATATGAGCGAGGGAGTGGATACCATGTCTTTTGATGGCCTATTTATGTTCATGCATACGAAGACGAAGCAGTCATCGTCCTTGTTTAACCAATGTAGTGTTTTTCTCACTTGTTACAATTTATTTTGTAGATGATGATGTTGGTTTTATCTTCTTTCGTTGTTGAGTCTTTTGGTTGACATAGAGGCAGCTGAGTGAAGTGATTTTGTTGGTTTGTGTGCTTACCATTGTTCTAAGAAAGGAAAATCGAGGATTTCCGGTGAATTCAAGTATCTGAACATCATTGACTTGATTAGACTGTTAGTGTTTTGTGGAACCAAAATAATAATGATATTTTGCCATATTCTAAAACAGTACTTATAATAATAATAATAATAATGAAAACAGTAATTAATAATTTTAATAACACAGAATTATAAGATAATGGGGATAGTGCGTGTCCCCATAAAATTATAAATATTGGAGAATAACTAGACCTGTTTTACAGAATAAGTCGTAAGTTTCACGTTAAACACTGTCACTGTTACATAGAATGCAATCAGGCGGTCGTTTAAGTAGGATATCGTTCAGTTATCATACTTCATAGTGCTAGAATACAGTCTATTATACTGACTTCTAGTCCTACCGGATGAGGTGAAAAGTGTGTGAAATTTGAGGATAGCAAGTATGTTGAGAGTCAGACCATTATGGATATGGACCGTTTCTCACATGAGTTTAGGTGTCTGTTGGCGATGATAGTAGCAAGGTAGCCGACTAAGTGGTGAATCACTTACCTTACTTACAATCTTTAATACACTTCAAAATATGACGTAGTCATTTTCTAGTAGTCAAGGAAAGACTAAGAGGGAGCAATGAAGTATAATAGGTAAGACGCAATATTTAACATGTTGTAAAAGTAAATGTTGAGTAATTCCAGGTTGTCTTAACTTCTTGATTTAGATTGTGGTTAGACAGGGCATTTTCTTAGAAAGAGACCAAGAAAGGTCAAAGGATGGAACTATACCAGAGTATTTTATGCCAGACTTGTTCTCGGCTCTTAGCTACAAGTATTGTGTGAACTTATGAGCCCACCAATATCATTTTTATTCCTGATGGTGAAATTAATTGTCGAACATTTAGAGGAATTTAATGTAGGATCACAAAGCTTAGACCACTGGTTAACATCGTTCAGAAAGCTATTCAGTCAGTTTGACAAAGTTACCACGGGAAGTAATTGTCAACGAGACAGTAAAGCTGTCAGCATATTTAATAAATTTGATTCCTCTCCCAAACAAGGCAGGTTATATAAGAAGAAATAAAAAAGATGAGGGGAGAGCACCACATTGAGGAACACTGACTTCAGTAAGCAAGAAAGAGGAAGATTTACCTTTATATACAGTATAATGCTTGCTGCTTAAAAAATAAGAGTGAAATCATTTGACAGCCCAGGACACAGCTGGTGCCATGGAAGGCTCATTTAACAAGATAGAATGCTTCAGCCTCACATCTTCATGGCGTTCGGTTCTCCGCCAACATTTTCACCTGGCTACACGTCTGCCTACATGCTTTCACCTCGTCTCCGCATCATCGTCTCCTCCATGCCATCCTCGCACTGACGACCAACTCACCGCTTCCTGTCTTGGTTCCATTAGAGTGATGACGTGGCGTGTGATGTTACTTGATGGTTCGTTTTCTCAGAATATCGCCAATCCACCTCCATTTTTCCTACAGATTTGTTACACAATCGGATCCTGCTTAATTTTTTAGCTCCAAGATATCCTTCACTATTACTGTTCTTTTCTGGCCAGCCATCTGCTCTTGATTAGTACTGAGTGAAGAGAGGTGATGATGAGAGTCTGCAATTTGTTTGAAGCGCCCTTCGTGACGCGACGCAGCGCCAAGTCTCTAATCCTTATAGTAGCACTGACCCCATTGGAGTTGAAAATCCGGATGTTATTTTTGATGCTGAGCAGTACTGTTGATCTCCACACAGACTTGAGAGTAACGAGAGCTTGTCTTGCTTTCCAGAACTTTGCTTTGATATCCCCGTCAGTTCAGTCCGTCTGTAGATGAAACAATGCTTCCCAGGTTGGTAGGCGGGCAGGTGGGCGAAGGAAGTTGCTTCTCTCAGATTCCTCCCATTCATACTGGCTGATTGTTGTCTGTTGTTGTTGCTATTGGCCAGGATTCTTGAAGGAAGTTCTATCTTCTCTGGATGCCTCTTCTGCCAGCTTGCTGATTCCCACTTACATATCTTCCAATCTGTGACACATATCGTCCTCCAAGTATTTTGTGTGGGTCCATTTTAAGCCTGTTTCCTTACTGCTTGCTGTCTATTGCATTATCCAGTCTACTGCAATCAGGAAAACCATTGAAGATAATGGGTAGCCAGCCAGCTTGTCTTACTCCCGTCTTCACTTCGAAGGATTCCACAAAAATCCCGTTGTGGATTACTTACCATGCAGCATTGTTGTACAACTGTCAGATGAAGTGTATGAATGTTGGCGATACCTCCTATTTACAAAGTAGTTTCCGAATCGCCTGTCGATTCACGCTGTCGAAGGTCTTTTCAAAATCAACGTAGAGAGTTGACTGCCATTCCAAGGCCTGTTCAATGACGACTCATTGTGTAAAACAAACAAAAATTATTCGTTCAAAATATGAAACATTTTTTGGATCAAAATCGTAATAAGAGGATGATTGCTTAACTAGCTAGGGATCGTGTACGAACGAACAACTGAATGCTTCACGAATGGACGCTTGACCGCATACCTTTAGTCAATAAGTTCACTTTAAAAGGAAGTCCAATCTCCACTATATTGAGTGAAGAATTTCGTAGAGTGATAATTTTGGAAAATGGTAACCACTACAGTTTCCAAGTACTAGGAATTTTGTAGCCAGTGTCATATAATATTAAAAACACTCTTCTAAAGATCTTTCAGTTTTGATAAAGATATCAGAGGGTAAATTTTAAATGGAAAACTTTAGGCAGTCACTGTATTGAATAATCTTACTTGACTGATAGTTATGAGTGAAAATTACAGCATACATCTTCTCACCTCTTCATAAAAGAATGCAAGTACATGTCAACTACTTATAGGCAACTAAGCAACTTTTAAAATTCTGCTGATATAAAGGCTGGACAGAACTAAATCACCCAACAATGAGCCACATTAACGAAAAGCATTTCAGACAGGTGACTATAAACTTTTATCAATAACTGCCCCCTTCATTAGCTCTATATTGAAGATCAAATGATCGGCCAGATAACAATAGTGACAAGAAACTATGGCAACAAACCGTCGAATGACATCGCGCTTAATGCAGGCTATCGCTCGAATAGAACCCGAATGGAAAACAACTAGTTAGGGCGTGTGTCCGATGGTGAGATGCAGAAGATCGTGTGAGGAAGTGATAAGAGACCGTCGGCAAATTTGAATCCATCTGGTGAAGGGGATAGCAGAAAAAAGAACAAGGCAAAGATGTGTTATTGAAGCCCTATGATCCACTCGGAACCCGAGATAACAATTATAATAATAATTACCCACATCTGTCGTGTCAGAAATGGTGATAGTATCCATTTCTTTGGGCTAAAATCAGGTGGAGTGGATCAATATCTACTTTTCGATAAATTCTATTCATCTAGCGTTGTCTAGCCAACAAATCCATCATCAAATCAGTCTATCCTGAGTTCACTTTCATCCTTCATCTTATGATTTACAATCCAAGTGAAAATTTAGCCAGGTTTTTAGAAATATATTTGAACAATTTGATCTACAGCAATGTTAATGTTTATCATACCCATCGATTAATACTAATCTATGCGTGCTTTTCCTCATTGTTCCCACAACTGCACAAAATCATTTTGGAATCATAAAACAAAAAATAAATAGAATAGCAAAGCAGGAAATCTATATAAGACCATATGCTCGGTGTGGAACCTACACGATTGGATTACTAACCGGTTGGCTGTTATACGATTATCCGAGATTAAGAATTGTAAGTTTCCACCTTAAATACACTTTACATTATTTACTTTCTAAGCTGTTGGCATATTTTTTCTTTTTGCGTTCCACGACTGGGACATAGGACTTCAAGCTAGAGGCTTGAATTTTCAGTACAAGTGATGTTTGATTTTTCTTATAGAGTGGGTTTGTTAGCCAAACACCTAACCTTCCCTCTTTATCAAGATTATGACCGGCTAAGGAAGGTAAAGCAGTGCGCCGGCTGGGACTCGAACCGTGGACAATCCACATGGTTGCGCAACACTCTACCACTGAACCACTGGCCCACAAAGTCATAACTTGATATGTACTAAAGCGCTATATTCTGGAGAAAAAGAGATATGGAATAATTGTTCCGTAATAGGATCTAAAAACTTGAGGAAAATAGAATTTGCGGTTCAAACACTTGTTGTATGATATGATTTCATCCAATTCACAGAATACTGAGTAGTTGTCTACAAGAGGCTACAATTTTGAACTCAACATTGGCACAAACATATCTGAAAAGGGGGATAAATGAAGCGAAGAGCAGGTGTTAGAAACTCCCTACGTTTCAGTGGTTCTAATTTAAACACTGTCATTCGTGTGCCTTTTGGTCACAAGCTACTACTAAATTATACTTCGCTGTGAGCCTACGGCTGACGTTTTCCTAAAAGAAACGCGAAAGATAAGCTATCGTATTGGGCCACTTCAGAGTGTATATACCATTTCACTTGCTCTTGTGGAGCTAAGTACATCGGCCGTATCATGCGCCAACTTGAAAAACGTGCTCGTGAACACTTTCCAGCGTGGCTAGTAAAAGGAGATCAAAAACGTGTATACAGTTCAGTGACAGAACATCTGGTCAATTCAGGACATTCATTGCCAGTAGAAAACTTCAAAATAATATACAAGATTCGGTGAAACCTATTGAGGAGAGTGTAATCCAGACATTTGGGCTTCGCCCAGGCACTAGCTATCCGAAATCTCAAACCCACACTATGTATCCAGAAGAAATACGTCTAACCCTCATCCCTACTATGGCCATCATAAACAGGTAATTCCTTTAGTAATGGCCATCTCGTTGCCTTTCTTATCCAAACTTCCTGTTTATTCATGTTATTTTTAAGCTTTTCTTAATCCCTATTTACACTACCATATTTTAATATCCGAACTTCCAGTCTACTTTGTTATTTCTATATTTCTAACCTCTAACTGCACAGTGTGTCAATATTCTCAGTAATTATGATGCTACTTTGTTTGAGTTTTATCCGTCCCCCGTGTGTTTATTATGGTATCTTAGTTCCTAATTGTAATTTTATTAATTTGACCACTGACAGCAAAATTATTCTGGAACTTTCCCACCGATTTATTATAAATACACGAATGTACAGCTCTCATGATGACGACTTCATCGAAAAGAAACGTTTCTTCGCTTCAACCATCTTTTTATTAAATTATATTCACAACTGCAACAGTACTACATATCTTCAACGATGGCGCCAAATGAAGACTTTATAGTACTTAGTCCTCTGGATTATGTGATCTAAAATTAAAGGCATCGAATAAAATCTGTACTGATACTGTTTTCTAGGATGAAAATACAAGGACAAATACACTTTCCAACTCCAAGATCACAATACTAACACAATTACAGGATTTCAGCATGAGCTGACATTAGTTAGACAACCATTGGAAAAACTGGGAGTACTGGGTAGCTGTTTCATCCTAGTTTAAGACTCTTCATCAGTACGCACCCACTGGCGTAGTCTTCATTACTACGTTTCACGGCATTTTTTTTCTAATGGAATTATTAAGTACTTTCCGCATTCATTACTAATACATCCTTGTAATAAGAATCACACTAGAACAACAACCGTAATAGTGGTAAGAACAGATGGCGGCCTGTTTGAAACTTTGAATATCGAATGAGACCTCCATTAATAGATTAACATGCGTAATTTTTCTTATTCAGTTAGCTTGAATCTCGTAAAATATGACCAATAATCCTATTTATTGTTTACTCTGGCGGGTATTCAAAACATTTAACACCTACTCACTCACAAGTTCCTATGAGGAACATGAGGTGAAACGCGAGCATTATCCTCGATAGATGAAAGTCTATCCCAGTACCTGACGTAACCATTCCTGAGTGATATCCTTAGCCCACATAATGTATTCCTACACCTCTTTATTCTCATCGTCTTTCCTTTTTACGCTGCAATTTAACATTGGAAGCCCCCTTCTTGACTTTCTAATTCACAAGTGAACTGAATCGGCTCTACATTTCAGTTAATGTGTTTGGAAAATCTATCTATATCCTGTGTTTTAAGCACAGTAGATGTGTCATCTACAGACCTCCACCACCTCACGACATGCAATTACACACAACCATACAATATGATTGGATAAGATGAAATTTTTTAAAAATGTAATGTCACATCTAGGTGGAGGGAGAGATTGATAACAACAGCGGAAGCTTTGTTTATCGAATCAACTGAATGGAAATACGTATAATAGGAATGATTCAACACCTGTTCACTTGGATATTTGGAAAATTCTACTATCCCTACGACGACAAATAGGAGAGAGCAAAGAAAACTGTGAAACTCAAGTTTCAAAGTCGTGTGATTATAAGTGATGAAATGATTATGAACAATAAAAGATTGTGTTCGAAACCTTTTCATCCAGTAATCGATAATACTGTTTCACACACTGTGTGATACATCTAATAGACAAACTAATGTGGAATTATTTACTACCACAGTGCCCAAATTTTACACATATATTAATACGTCCTAACAATGACAAATTACTTCATCCTTCATACATCGAGAATTGGTTAGAGGATATTTCCTAATAGTTGACCGATGTTACTGTGGTGACGGCAGTTGGCATCATGAACTAATTTTAGTCATATAACGTTTCCTAAACTCCTAGATATATGAAAAATGTCTTTTCAGTGTATTCTATGTAGAACATAGGGTCTCGGAGGAAGATCTACATTGCACTCGATACTCTTCGACGAGATCACCAAATTTAATAGTAGGTTTAATAGTAAGTCTTATGAAAAGTGAGAAAGTTTTATGTGGTATTGACGTAACGACGAAAGACAAGGGCAAGCAAAAAAAGTCGTTTATTGAGAAAATCATGTGATATTTATAGATTTTTATGTACATTACTATTCGTTATTGTTAGCAGAGGAGCAACCTCTTCTAATTGATTGTTTTCTTGCTAAAAGGTTATTCTTTCATCTCTTTGTGACCGTTTCTTAGACAGTGCGGTTTAAGAATCGTATCTACCCACGTTTGTTGATGAGTTCCTCAATATTAGGCTTTGTTCTTGCCTTTTCTCACGACCCCAACTCGGGACGTAAACAATGACGTAAATTATTGCTTACAATTTCGGCCTGCAGGCAGCTCTCACCTTACTGACACCCGTACACCATGTGTAAACATCTCTATCGCTAAGGGAACTTCAGAGCCAAAAAGAAAAAGGCATAATTTTATGTTTGGGAATAGTTTACCTTATCTAATTTTGACAGGAAAACTATGTAGTCAATCCCCTTTACAATTTTTATCTAATAATACTCATCTGTTAAAATAAAAACACTGTCTTAATATGTAAAGATTTTTTGGGTCTGAATTTAACCAATGGATGGTGACTAGCAGTGGAATCCATCCGGATGCACATTTCGTCCCTTTTGACACTCTTCATCTGGATGTACCTGCATTCCCCTGCCAGTGAGTGATGATGTTCCCACCAAGGCTCGAACTCAGTGCCCATAGTTTCAAACATCAAAGCGTTATCTACTAGACCACTTGGTCCACGAGAGCCACTGTCTCTTGTGCAACAGGTCATAATAATTTAATTGAATTCGGCAATGCAGGTACATCCAGGTGACGAGTCACATACATGATGAAATGCTCATCCTGATGGATTCCACTGCTAGTCACCATCCACCCGTTAAATTCCTATTAAGTGCCCAGACATCGTCGAAGCATCTGAAGAAGAAGCCGATAATGTGGACCTAAGACCGAACACTTCGGTCCAATCAATCGACGGGAAAATTTCAAATTAAATTAAATTTTTTTGGGTCTGATTACTAATGAATTTAAACAAAACTTTTATTCGGTTTTAAATAAAGATATTCACCTCTTTTTTTTTCTGTCTGTCTCTCTCTGTTTTGTAATCTTAAGCGGAAAGTGTTAAAACATCAAATTCTTATTGGTGCATGTAGTCTCCTGCTGATAGCATGTCTCTGTATCCTGCCGATATTTGGTTCTTACGGTGTACTGAGTGGATTGTTGCCTGATATGCCACGAAGGACAGCAGCTTTTTATCTAGCCTCAGAACGTGTATCATTTGGTCTTGGTTTGGCTATATTAGTTTATCTGTGTGCAATAGGATGGGCAAGTAAGTGAATAAATATTAATTCATTCATTCATTCATTTGATAATGCCATATAGTGTATTGTACAATTGTTTCACACAGACAAATGCCGAAAGTTGACAGACACCCTTCGTACCATTCGGCCTCACTCCTTGTAAAGGATCTTGAAAGACGATTGTGGTGGAGCTGAATGGCTTCAGTTGACAAAGTGCTCGAGAATTGACCTAGTAACTTTCTTGCATTGTCCTTTTGCTAACCATTCCGGATAGTGTTCAGAGATGCGATCGGAAAGTGTGAGGCTGATGTGTGCAACCACACGAGCAGGTGAATTTATAAACATATACTGAAGTGACCCGAAGCGGCAGTTTGTCCTTCACACATCAACTGATTATATTCAAAAGAATGGATACTGAACAAAGAGTATCCTTTTCGACAAAATTCATCATCAGGCTCTACAGTTATATATACATTATAGTGAATGAATGAGTTAGTGTTATGAACAACATTATTGTTGTTTGAATAAAATCGAAACAATAATAATATTGATGGATTACAATTGAGTAGCATCAACATAACAATAAACTCAAAGTCAGAAATATTAGGAGAGATAATAAATAATACAAATTCATGAATTTATAGTCTCTACCGAAGGCCATCCAGGGCAGTAGTAGTGGCTAGCTGGACTTGCTTCTTTTGCACACAAAGCACTGGTTGTTTCACGCGAATTGCAATAGCCTCTACTTTTTTGAGCATGCTGTGCTTCGATGTTTTTGGCAATTTATTAGGCATCCGGTAGATGATAGAGAAGGATTCGTCAATGCAGGCTAGCTTTGTGGTCGGTCCGCACCGGATGGTCCAATATCGAACTGTTAATGGTTTTCACCACAACTTTACTTAGCCATACTGGCAGATGTTCCTCAGTGAGCACGAAAAATCAATTTCCTGGAGCAACGACCGATAAAACTCGCTCCACCACAAGTTCAGTTGGATTTGTAGATGCAATCTGAAGTGGCTAGTCTAAGTACTTCATCTTTCAGTCAGTCGAGGAATCACCATCGGTCGTGTAGAGAATAAGACGTGTAGTTCGCCAGCATTAAAAGTTCTTTGAACTGATTTTCTTAATTTCTTCGCAATTATCTCGATTGGTATATCACCCATGAATTGTAGTCGTATATAAAGAGGCTTCTTGTCTACAGATAGTGAGTAGTCCTTTTCCGTTCTCTTTGTCATATGTTTCTTGATAAATTTTTCGGAATAGCCATTTTCCTCAGTAATCTGCACAAGTGATTCTTCAGGATATGAGATGCGGTATCACTTTTGAAGTCAACGTTGTTAAATAGTAGTTACTCTTCAAGTGACTACATCCTCAACAGAATCAATTATATGTGTGTTACAAAATTCTATCTGAACATACTTTTTACAATGACCTACAAAGTTATAAAAACAGAAAGTATAAGCAATACATAATTTCAGAGATGTTGTTGTGAGTAGGACATTTGTTTAGTGTTAAAAGAGTGTAACTATTTGTAGAGTAATTAGACAAGACGGTGGAATTCAGATTTATCTTGGAAACATGAATGGACTAGAGACAGAATACAAGATAGAAGAACAGGGTGAATTCACACATATTATGGTGGAGAGTTCAAGAGAGCAGTGGTGTAGGTGGTGGGGTGAATAGTGAAATAGAATTATAAGATGGACAAAATAATTTGATTTAGTAGTAGATTTGGAGACTTAATAGTGAGTTGAATTCAATGAGTGAAAATCTAAATCAGAATTGAGTGGAATGTTATGCGCGGAGACAAAACGCAAAAACACACACGAGGAAAACAATTACAGTTTTACCAGGTTAGGGTAGTTGCGGATTAGTCACACCATCTTTCTGTATGCTGCATGGGTTGGGTCGAAGTCCTTTGTTGGTAATGGGGTCTGAGAGCCGAAGTAAGCATGCTTTTCTTTGTGTATTGATTATTTTGAAAGCCTGCAGGCTAATGTTCAGTGTATGTGTGCATGTATTGACTGGTAATTGCTCTTGTGAACACTTTACTGCCTTTCAGATGGAGACTTTCAGGGATATGCTTGGAGAATCTAGTGGACACTTTCTCCTCTATATCCCTCCTATGTACTTGCTGTTGTGTGTGTGCAGGTTAATTGATAAATGCAGTTGAAGTTGACATGTGGAGCAGGATACTTATCTCCCTTTGAATATGTTGACGTGCATACTGTACTGTGTTATAATAAAGTGGAATGAATCTGAAGGCAGTAAATGGTTGTTTTTTTTTCCTTTTGTTGTGCATTCTTTTTCCACTTTGTATTCTGGAAAGTTAAAAACTGGTTTCTTTTCAACTATTTTCGTTTTCTGTATAGGAGATTATTCCTTCGCATAATATGTACAAATTCACTCTGTTCTTCTATCTTGTATTATGTGTGTAGTCCATCCTTGTTTCCAAGATAAATCTGAATTCCACCGTCTTGTCTAATTACTCTATAAATAGTTATACCCTTTTAACACTAAACAAATGTCTTACTCACAACAACATCTCTGAAATTATGTGTTGCTTATACTTCTCTGTTTTTTATAACTTTGTAGTCATTGTAAAAAGTATGTTCAGATAGAATTTCGTAACACACATATAATTGATTCTGTTGAGGATGTAGTCACTTGAAATGAGACGAGCTCGTAATATCCGGTAAATACGTTCGAGGTTTGTTTATATCAAGAGTAGCCTTGACGTTTGCTGCTGCATAGCTTGTTTAGATTATAGCTTCGGTTGAATCATCTCCATATAGAACTTGTGCTTTCTGTCGTGTTTATTCTTCTTCAGAATGTGAACAAAGTGATAAATCAATGTAAAATACTGCCCTGAAAATGCATTAGTCATAGTTGTTTATCGCTGTTAGAGATAAGAGAGAAGAACAGATTAAAAGTGCAACGATGAAATCGCTGACAAGTGATGAAGTAATTGAATCAAAATGGTTGAAAATATTCGGAATTTCAAAGAATTCACTACACTCATAGAATTCAATCAGTAGGAGGAAACTTTATGAGATCATAGCATTAAGAAATTATTATTGTTATTAACTTGAGTTCCAAGGGGAGCATAGGTCTTCAACAATACATCTCTACCTTGTCCTATTCCCTGCAGGCCTCTTCAGATGGGTGATGGTCCGATGATTGCCTATATTCCCTCATCACCTCCTCCTCCTCCAAGTCACACCAACTCCTCCATGTCAGGCTCGCATCCATTACCCACACTCTCATCACTTTTCATTTGGACTTCACTCAAGTGATGGCCTGCACTGAGCACGATCCCAATCGACTACCCCATCACCGTATGCCCTATCCATCTCCATTTTCTTCTAAACGTATTTGTTGAGCAACCAGCCCTTCGTTGATTTGTAGAAAAAGGTTTCTTCTTCTTCCTAATTCTTTCTCAACAACCTACCGGACATTTGATCTTCAATATGGAGTCAGCGAAAGACCCAGCTGTGGATAAAAGTCTGAAGATGCCTGTTCGAAACGCTTTCCGTGACGTGCTGGCCAGTTTTCTCACTCATGTAAAAGAAAAAGGCTGACTGACTGCCTCACTGAATTCACATTTCTGTTGAAAATGAGAATCTTATTGTTTATACTGACGCTGAGTGAAGCAGAAGATTTACAAACTGATTTTAGGTTGATGAAGGTGTATCTTGCCTTTCCGATTCTGGCTGGTTGACTTGATACCTTCGTCCGTGCCAGGTGCCACCTGTGGTTGAAACAGTGCATCCTATTAGATGATTGGAGGCAATCAGCCACAGGAACCCTTGCTTGACCTAGGTTTCACGCTAGTTGGCACTCATCAGGAAGGCGTATCTGTAACCTTGAAGGAACTCATATCCCTTATGGGATTCGAACCCGCGGGTTGCAGATACGCCTTGCTGATGAGTGCCAACTAGCACTAAACCTAGGTCAAGCAAGGCTTCCTGTGGCCGATTGCCTCTAACCATCTAATACCATCAAAACAATGTGCACCGTGATGGCGAGCTAGCTAGAATGGTGGTCACATTACAACCTGACTGATAGAATTCAGTCTACACTAATCAGAGGACTGGACGCATCACACTAGTTACTAGTGTCGAATACAGTGCATCCTAGCCAGAAAAGTGAAGGGCGTAACCCATTTCAGATTTATCTCGCTGATCATGCTTGCTGCTTTTCATGGTTGTTGTTGTTGTTGCTTTCGCTGCCGGTTGGTTATCATCTTCACCTCTGTCTTGTCCATATTCTTCTGAAATCCTGTCTTCTCTGCCTGCCTCATCAGTCATTTTGTTGGTTTCACCTGTAGGTCTTCGAGTGTGCGTGTGTGCCATTCAACACAAATTATCTACGCACGAAATCTAGATCACCTAGAGTATTCTTATCGGTCAGTGCAGCGTATTTCTGTCTTCCCACACCTCAATGCACAGTCTGATGCCTTATCCAGGCCACTAAAATTAAGCCAGTCATCCTGTATTCACTTTGGTTTAAATAGTTTCCACGTCAGCATCACTCAGTCTGTCGTTCCATCACACTACAACACCCATAGAAATTAATTAACGGTGAATAGGTTTAAGCACAGACCAATTAAAAATGAAACATATAAACTGAAAAAAGAGTCTTATTCATTTTGTTTTCAGGAAGTCGTCAGATGAAGTCAGAAAATAGATAAATATTTTTTGCCCAACTTGTATGCTTTATAAGTCGGCATAGAATGAGGCATTTTTCATATCATATGTGCCACACTGTGACATCGAAACTTCATTAGCTGAAAAAATTATATATATATATATATACAGTCGGTGGCACAGTGGTTAGGACTCTCGCCGACCATGCACATGGTCCGGGGTTCGAGCCCGCACCGACGCACACCTGATATCTATGGTCGGCCTGCAAAATTCGGGCTACCGATATCCATGCTGAAAATTCCATACTTGTACCGAAAATACAGTGTGAATTCAAGCTGTAAATCAAAAATAAAAATAAATATATATATATACGACAAAACCAATACTGGAGTACTGAACAGCTGTTTCATCCTAGTTCGGGAATCATCGGCAATACGCACCCACCACAAGGGGTTCGAACCCAGGACCTTTCGGTTACAAGGCCAGGAAGCTCGTATACCATTCAGCCATTGGGACCTTGAAACTATACGACAAATTTAATGAAAATATCATTAATAATAATAATATACCAGAAGAGAACAAGAGTGAATTTTCACATAATCGGATTGTATTTCCCTTTCAATTGGACGCCTGTATGCATTCACTCATTCACAGTTATTAATGGGTAGCAACTACTCAACGGTGGGCAGCGAGGAAACAGGCATAAAATGGACCCACACAAAAAACTTGGAGGATCTGGACTTCGCTAATTTCAGATAAATGACTGATTTTCCATAAACTGGGAGATATGCAAGTGAAAAGCAATAAGTTCGCAGAAGAAGCATCCAGAGAAGCTATGACTTCACTTCAAGTGAACATAGAGAGTGCAGAGGTGATGAAGACTCCTGGTCAAAAGCAACAACAACGGATAGCGATAAGCCAGCATAAATGGGAGAAATCTGGAAACATCAACCTCCTTTACCTACCAACCTATCTGGGATTCATCATTTCATCTACAGACTGACGAAACTGATGAGGATATCGAAGCGAGGATCATCGGGAGAGCAAGACAAGCTTTAATCACTCTCAGGTCTGTGTGGAGATCAACAGTACTGCTCAGCATCAAAAATAACATCCGGATTTTCAACTCTAATGTGAAATAAGTGTTACTTTATGGATCAGAGACTTGGTGCCACGTCATGAAAAGCAGTTCGAACAAACTACAGACCTTTATTAACAGTTGTCTTCGCTCAATACTTCACTCAAGATCAGATGGCCGGCCAGAAAAGACCAGCAACAGGGATCTCTGGGAGCGAACCAACCCACCAGGAAGCGATTGTGAAACAAATAGGCAGGAAGAAATGGAGATGGATTGGCTGCCCATACGCTGAGGAAACCACCAAGTGACATCACTAGACAAGCCATTGCTCGAGTGGAACCCGAAAGGGAAGCAGCGAGTTGGTCGTCATTGGAAGGGTGACTTGGAGGAGGTCATGCGAGGAGGAGATGAAAGCGTTTGGAGAGCGGGGTGAAAAGGTTGGCAGAAAACCGAACGCAATGGAGATGCGTGGCTGAAGCCCTATGTTCCTCTAGGAATTAAGGATGTAATAATAATAATACTCAACGGCAAAGACTTTAGTTCACAAATATATACGAAGAATTATATACATTTTATTAGATATAAATTCAAATAATTAAGAATTTATACTTAATTGGTGGATGGTGACTAGCAGTGGAATCCAGGATGCGCATTTCGTCCTATTCGGGAGTTGTCAGCTGGATGTACCTGCATTTCTCAGTGAGTGATGATGTTCCCACCGAGGCTCGAACCCAGTACCCATAGTTTCAAACGCCAAAGCGTTATCCACTAGACCACTTGGGCCGCGAGACCCATCTCTTGTGAAACAGGTGCGTCGGTGGCACAGTGGTTAGGACGCTTACCGACCATGCATATGGTCCGGGGTTCGAGCCCACGTCGACGCACACCTGATATCTATGGTCGGCCTGCGAAATTTGGGCTACCGATATCCACGCTGAAAATTCCATACCTGTACCAAAAAAACGGTGTGGAATCAAGCAGTAATCAAAAATTAAAAAAAAATTTATTAATTTTATTGAATTTGAGATTTTCCCGTCGATTGATTGGACCGAAGTGCTCGGTCTCAGTTTGACATGTCGGCTTCTTGTGCAGACGCTTCGACGATGTCTGGGCATTTAGTTAGTATTTAATTGGTGGATGGTGACGAGTCTCAAATAGGACGAAATGCGCATGCTGGCTGGATTTCACCGCTAGCCACCATCCACCAACTAAATACTAACCAAATGCCCAGACATCGTCGAAGCATCTGCACAAGAAGCCAACAGACATGTCAACCTGAGACCGAGCACTTCGGTCCAATCAATCGACGGGAAAATCATCTCAAATTCAAATAATTAAGAATTTATACTGTTTCATTTAATTTTTTGTTTTATAGATCCAATCTATAAATGTTTTGCATGGTCTGCTTTTCGTGTACCAGCTCGCCTTACTTATTGTGCCTATCTAATACATCCTGTTATTGTTACTATTTTTATTGATGGTACTCAATCTCCATTCATTATCGATCAGTTGAAAACTGTGAGTGAAAACATTTCAAAATAATTTTTTGCATTTCTTTTTCTATACAAAATTTGTTTGACTAAATCATTTTATTGATCGAAGGTACATCGACTGAAATGGTTAGGACATGTGTTACATATACATCCCTAGGCATCACCTTCCTCGACGACGGAAATGTAAACTGACATAGGGTCAAACCAAAACATTACGGCATCAGTCAATGAAATCCACAACAGTTGGTTTAAGCTAAGCACTTAGGGATGCGTAGACTTCCTGACTGGTCGGGGTCCTCGGTATGGTAAAAACCAATGACGGCTGGAGAGGAGACAATCGGTGATATGGCTCAAAATCCTCGTTCTCAATAGCTAGTGCAGATGCATCTACTCCTTGTGACTTATAATACCCAATGAAACTATATTGTTCTTCGGTATTACTATTCTTTTTGCCTCATATCTCTGTTTATTGTCTCTATATTGAATTTCTTCTTACTTTCTTCTCTTGCTTTGTGTGTGCTACACGGAGGGAGTTTGGCGACTTCGACTACTGCACATCGATGCAAAATAGTTCTATGTTGAAACCGATTAGTCAGTATACTGGCTGAAGTTGTTTTCAGCAGACCAATTTTTAAGTAGGTCACCATTCGGAACCAGCTGTTTTCCTGGTTATCATTTAACACCAGAATAATATCGTACTGCTCACTTTTAGTGCAGTGATCACAGCTAAGATTTAATCAATAAATTTCAATTCTCAGAATGATATATTAGTCAACTGCTATGTGTTTTGAAGAAAATTAAACGATGAATTCAGTGAAGAAAATTTCTTTATGGAGGAAATCCTCTGCAGAGACTGCACTGTCGTATTTATTTTTACCAAAAAATGTATAGTAGTCTATTATTGAGTAATAGCTCAATTCTCGAGCACTTGGTGAAGCCAGGCCACACAGCTCCACCAGAAATGTCTTTCAAAATCCTCCACAAGGTGAGGGTGAATGGTACAAAGGGCATCAGATTTCGGTATTTGTATACGGCGGAGGCGCTGGAGATTCGTCAATTCAACCCTGAACTCTGTATTCAGAAACCGTTCGTCAAGTCTCTTCTTCTACCTCGGTCTTAACCTCTTCACTAGTCGTTCCGTGTAAAAACTTTTGATTTATTTTTCTTTTTTTCTTATTTTCATTTCTACTTTTAGTTTGCTTTCGTTTTAATAATTAATTCCCTATTATCACCGTCATAGGTCCCTCTTGTACATTTTCACATACTCTTCACACTTGTTAAAATGACACTCAACTACCTTTGTTCTCACTCAGTAGTAATTTTAACCTTAACCTGGTTAACAATGATCATTCTATTTCAACAAAAGCCTCCCGCTTCAAAGTAATCTACAGAGTCAAGAATAACCCAACAAAGGCCATACGGTTTCGCTTTCTTTGTATCGCTGAAGCTCTGGACATTCACATAGAAAAACCGGAGATGTACATACAAAAGAGGATTACTCAACCACTTCTACTGTCATGGTAACAACCTTTTTGATTTGATTTTGACTTTGTTTCTTTGCCTGTTCTTTAACTGCTTATAATTTTTGTATTCATTTAGAACTCTAACGTAATTTCGTATTCTCTACTTTGTGTCTATGTGCATCCTGAGTAAACTCACTCATCAAACTATTCATATGATTATTACATAACTTCTTTCTTAACAACTGTTTGTGACAACTCATCACCTTTGTTACTACCCTAATTTCATTAACACCTAATTTTCTTGACTTGTATTACCAATCTTCACCTGGTTATTTAAAACATACCCATAACCAATTGAAATTTTGTTTGACAAACTTAATGAACACATATATACAAAATAACCCATATGTATATTTGCGATTGTACAGCTAAGAAAATTAATTCACCGCCGATAAGAGACTCTTCGCTGAACACTACGTGTTTTGTTTTCATTAATTTTAACCTTATCAAATTTCTTCCTTTATGATGTTGAGTACCATGTAATTCACATTTTGTAAAATTTTTTATTTCTAAAGCTACTTCTCAGTAATTACATCAATTACGTAATCCCCACTCCTATTACTCAATAATAGACTACTATACATTTTTGGCGAGGAATCATGCTCCTGTCGACGCCAAGTAAAATCCTGAGTCACATCATCCTGGAGAGAATTAAGGACGCACTGGAGACAGAACTCCTACCTACCTGAACAAGCTGGATTCAGGAAAGGCGAATCATGTTCTGAACAAATTGTAACTCTACGCATCATCATCACAGAACAAAGCATGGAATGGTAATCAAACCTCTACCTCAAATTTATAGACTTTGAGAAGGCCTTCGACAGTTAGCGTTGACCGCGAAGTAATTTGGAAACTACTCGAGTACTACGGCGTACAGTGCCCCAAATATTCATCAACCTTATTCAACAGCTGTACGACAACGGAACATGTCAAGTGATCCACAACGGAAAACTCAGCGAGGCATTTCGAGTAGACACAGAAGTCAGACAAGGGTGCTTATTATCACCAATGATATTCCTAATTGTGGTGGACAGACTGGATTACGCGTCAGACAGTGGGAAACGAGAAAACAGGGATATCCTGAACCGACGTGAAGAACCTAGAAGACCTGGATTTCGCACGTGGATGATTAATGTTTGAAGTCACACAAAACTGAGCACTTACAAGCGAAAACCGACAAACTGGTCAAAGAAGCATCATGCGAGGACAGGACTCAAAGTGAACATAGACAAGACGGAGGTGGTGAAAATAACCAGCCAACAACAACAACAGGAATATCCAGCGTGAACCACCATCAACGGGAGGGATTTGAATGAGGTCACCTCATTCACTTATCTAGCATTGAGCATTGTCTCAACTACAGCCAGTCGGAACAGACGAGGATGTCAAATCGAGAGAGAATCGGGAAGACGAGAAACACATTCATCAAGCTGAAACCAATCTCGAAATCTTCGTCACTCAGCCACCATCAACAACAAAATTCGGTCGGATTTTCAATACAAACCTCGAGTCAGTCAGGTCTTCTATACGGATCAGAAACTTGGCTGGTGGGTCACAAAGAATATTTCCAACAGCCTGTTGCAGACCTTTATCAACCAACAACTGTCTTCGCTGTATACTGAAGATCAGATGGTCTGGCCGGAAAGAATCACCAACAAGGAACTATGGAAACAAACAAAACAAGAACCCAACAAATATGCAGGAGAAAGTGGAGATGGATTGGACACTCGCTGAGGAGACCCCTGGGTGACATCACGAGCGCGTCAGGCCATTGCTCGAGTGGAACCAGGCCGAAAAGGAAGCGTCGAGTGGGACGTTTGTGCAAGGGTGACATGGGAGAGATCGTGTGCGTGAAGAGGAGTTGAAACAGTATGGACTAACATGGATGCATGTGAAAAGTACAGCAGAGAAGATGACAGAAGCAAGTAGAGACGTGCAGTTGACATCCCATGTTCCACTAGGGGAACCCAAGAGAACAATAATAAAATAATAATACATTTTTGGTAAGCATAAATACGACTGTACTGTACAGCCTATGAAGATGATTTCATCGTGTAACGGAAGTTTTCTTCGCTGAATTTGTCTTTTATTCTTTTGCTTCATGACTCAATGGGTATTTTCAGTGCTATGTGTTTCTTTTTTTGTGATTATCGCTTTCTTCTTCTTCTTCTTTTTTTCTTTTATTTGTTCAGGTCCAGTTGACCGCTTCCATAACAGTATTCAGTTATTTCTTCGCCTATATTATATCAATGATGGTTGAATATCCTTCAGTTGCAATCGAGAACTATCTACGAGGTTGACTACCAGTCAATTCACCAAATCTGAAGATGTTTATGTGATTGATAAACTTTTTTTATGCACCTTTTTTCAATTTCCCGTAAACTTCTTTTATATATATATATATATATGCAAAATATGCCTTACCAGTGTATTAACCTAAAGAAAAGAAGATATCCTGAACATTATTTTCACATGACAAAAACTCCGACAAGACTTTGTATGTTATTTCTGTCTTTCTTGTGTTGAGGCAGGCTTTATAATATCACATTTTATCATTTGTATTAGATAATGCTCTATGCGAAGAATTTATTTCTTGGTTTATTGAGACTATTCAATTAGGTTTAAGAAATGTAATCAATACTTTTGTAACAACAGAAGACAAAAGGCGGGAAACAGATCCTTATTACGGAAATCAACACGTATTTATATATATATATATATATATATATATATATATATTTCCTGTACATTATTATAGCTTATTCAAGTAGACAAACGCAGTTTTCTGATTGGTTGTTTTCGAGTTCCTCGGAAAATGGAGCCATCTATCTGCGAATCGTATCTGCCCACGTTAAGTCTGCTGTGATTGGTTGTTGAATCAGCCTTGTTCATATTTTCTCACGGCCAATATTAATGACCTAGACATTGACGTAGATTAATGTCTACAAATTGGCTAGCAGCCTGCTCTCACCACACTTTTACGTGAACGCTTTCAGCTTCATAATATATATATATATATATATATAATGGAGATTTGTAGCTCAGGTGGATGATTTTGATGTGGTTGCCTTCTCTGAGCTGGATAGTTAATTTACGAAGCTTTCATTGCCCCACCACCACTAGGCGACATCTTCAGCGCGCATACTTCAATTTCAGTTGAAGTGAGTTTGTAGATTTCCCCACGAGTTTATTAATCATCTCTCCTGGTGGATAAACCTGAATCTCGTCATTGGTTCTTTCTGTATATTTTTGCACACCATCTAGACTAATGCTTGTTTTGATACTGGTACTGATTCTTTTCCTTAACCTGAAGTTTGACCCTTTGTGTGTGTGTGAGAGAGATTTCCTTTTTACCGATTGATAAATTTTTGTCTGTGTCGAAGTGTCTATTGTGATTGATGATGATTCACTGGAATACCACCAGGTGGGTTTTTATCAAAATTCTCTAGCATTCTTGGTGTTTCTTCTGTCTAATATTTGAACGTTGGTTGTCTCAGTTGAATTGATATCCATAGTTGTCTGTATGCAGTGTGCCTATATGGGGGAGTGGATATCATCATGTCTTTTGATGGCTAGTTTATGATCATGGATACAAAGATGAAGGGGACGTCGTCCACTTTGGCCAATGTTGTGTTTTTCGCAGTTGTTACAATTTATTTTGTACATAATGATGTTGGTTTTATCTTCTTTCGTTGTTGAGTCTGTCTTTTGATTGACATAGAGCCAGCTGAGTGAAGTGACTTTGTTAGTTTGTGTGCGACCTTAATTTCAACAATTCTAGAGAATTTTTAGTAGCCCACCTGATATTCTAGTGAAGTAGTCAATCCATCCGCACATCGAGATGGACAAAATTTCCCACTCGATAAGAAGGAAATCTCACACACACATACACACACAAAGGGTCAAAGTTCAAGTCAAGGAAACCATCAGTACCAATATCAATACAAGCAGTAGTCTAAAGGATGTGAAAATACACAAAGACAAAAAATAACGACGTTCAAGTCCACCCACCAGGGGAGGTGATTAATAAACTCGTGGAGAAATCTGCAACCTCACTTCAATTTAAAATTGAAGCATGCGCGTTGAACAAAGCTTGGAATGGCAGTCACCTCTCTATCTCAACTTCATCGACTTTGAAAAGGCCTTCAGCTGACAGCGTCGATCGAGAGGTCATTTGGAAACTACTTCGCTACTACGGGGTCCCGTCGACAATTATACATCTCATCCAACAGTTATACGACAATGCTGAATGCCAACTAATCCACAACGGGAAACTCACGGAATCCTTCGAAGTGAGGACGGGAGTGAAGCAAGGCTGTCTACTATGGCCAATGATTTTCCTGATTGCAGTAGATTAGATAATCCGACAGACAGGGGACAACCAGTAAACAGGCATAAAATGGACTCACACAAAAATCTTGGAGGATCTGGACTTCGCCGATATTATATATATGCCTGATTTCTCACAAACTGGAAGATATGCAAGTGAAAAGCAACAAGTTGAAGGAAGAAGCATCCAGAGAAAATAGGACTTTACTTCAGGTGAACATAGAGAAAACAGATGTGATGAAGATTCCTGGCCAACACCAATAGCATCAACAACAACTACAGACAACAACCAGCCAGCATAAGTCCGAGGAACACGAAAGAAACAACCTCCTTTACCTACCTGGGAAGCGTCGTTTCAACTACAGGTGGACGGAACTGAAGGGGATATTAAAGCAAGACAAGCTTTAATAAAGTTATATTTGTAAAATCTCAGCGAAATTGAAATGATTAATTCCAACAAGCCTTCATTACTCTCAAGTCTGTTTGGAGGTCAACAGCGCGCAGCATCAAAAATAACATCCGGATTTTCAACTCCAATGTGAAGTCAGTGCTACTCACTATACGGACCTGAGACCTGGCGCGTCATAAAGAGCATCTCAAACAAACTACAGACCTTCATTCACAGTTGTCTTCGCTCAATACTTCACTCAAGATCAGATGGCCTGCTAGAAAAGATCAGGAACAGGGATCTCTGGGAGCGAACCAACCCACCAGGAAGCGATTGTGAAACAAATAGGCAGGAAGAAATGGAGATAGATTGGTTGGCCATACTCTGAGGAAACCATCAAGTGACATCGCTAGACAAGCCCTCGAGGGGAACCCGAAAGGGAAGTGGTGAGTTGGTCGTGAGTTTAAGGGTGACTTGGAGGAGGTCATGTGAAGACGAGATGGAAGCATGTGGGCAGACTTGGAGCGGAGTGAAAAAGTTGGCAGAAGGCAATGGAGATGCGCAGCTGAAGCTCTATATTTCTTTAGGAATTAAGGGATATAATAATAATAATAATAATGCGCGCTGACGATGTCACTTAGTGGTGGGGCAATGAAAGCTTCGCAAATTAACTATCGAGCTCATAGAACACAACCATATATATATATATATATAGATATATACATTATGTAGCCACACAGCACTTGACCTAATAGTACTCGATTCACATAATATGAACAAAACCGCTATTCCTCAATCGTACCCGCCTAATTCATGCCAAAATCTCAACGTCACCTAGCAATGCATCAGCTAAGGGGTAAACGTTGAACACGAGAGTAATCAACAACAGTTACTGTACTGATCAATATCCATCAGTCAAGTTAGCAATGCAGTTACCGAATTGGGAAACTTATTATTATTATTATTATTATGGTTCCTTTGGGTTCCGGGTGGGTTAAAGGGCTTCAATAGTCGTTCTATTTCCTGCTATCCTCCGCACCAACTGGATTCACGGTTACCCACAGTCTGTCATCTCCTCCTACCCACACGGTCTTTTCCATCTCATAGTCAGGTACACGCCTAACTCGTCATTTCCTATTCGAGTTCCACTCAAGCGATGTCCTGCAGTGCACGCAATCTCATTTAACAGTCTCTACAGCATATACCTTATTCTGTCTCCATTTTCTCCCAAACACACATTTGTTGAGAAATCGGCTCTTCGTTGTATTCTTCCAAGAGTTTCTTCTTCCTAATTCTTCCTCAACAACCTATCGGATATTTGATCTTCAATATGGAGTCAGCGAAAGAGGCAGCTGTTGATAAAACTTTGCAGAGGCCCGTTCGAAATGCTATTCGCGACTCACTGGCCAGTTTTTCACTCATGTAGAAGAAGTGACTGACTAACTGCCTCACTGAATTCACATTTGTGTCGAAAATCCAAATCTCGCCTTCTCGATTCTGGCTGGTTGGTGTTGACACCTCAATCCGTTCCTCCTGTGGTCACAATAAGTGGACTCTGTCAAATTTATCCAATTGATCGTGATTAGGGTTGGTTGTTGTTTTCGTTGCTGGCTTGATATCTTCATCCCACCCATCTTCTCCATGTACCGCTGAAGTCCAGTCTTCGTCGCCTGTCTCATCAGCCAGTTTGTTGGTTTCGCTTGTAGGTCTTCGAATTTGTGAAATTTAACACAAATTATTCACGCGCGAAATCTAGATCTTTTAAAGCACATGATTCGCCTTTCCTGAATAGAGCTTGTTCCGGATGGCGGAGTCCTTCATCCACTGGACGCTTTATTCTCTCCAGGAGGAAAAGAATTAGCAATTCACCTGATGTCAACAAGGGCATGATGTCAAAGCATTATCGAGTAGTGGTCACTGATTGTAAGAAATCAATTGCAAGCCGTGAACTCAGGTTTTGTACATTTTGATACAGGTCAGATGACAGTGGCCAACACACAAACTAGCTCTCTAGCTTGATACATATGTGTCACTTGGTTTAAGCATGACAAAGGTATCGTCAACACATTTAAAGCAAAGCTTTCTTTTAACCAGTAGAATGAGAACTGACTCTGGTTGCCGATTCGTCGTTTAGATAATGGGCTGGTATACTGATGATCCTATACGCATCTTTTTAGTTTGACGACATGCATATCAAATGTACTCAAGACAACACCAACAATAAGAAATCTAAATCATCAGTAGTCGTTCCGTACAAGAAAGGAACCTCGAAAGCCTTACACAGAATTCTTAACAAGGCAGGCAGAAATAAAAGTGGCTGGCATTCAAACCATCCACAAACTCAATTAGAAACAAACTTTGTCGGTTAAAGGATCAATCCTGTCGAGCCTTTAAAACAAAACCATTTAGTTTATCTAATACCCTGCCTTCGATGATTGTCACGTCAAATACATACATCAAACCAGTAGAACAGGGGTAGTCAGTTAGATTAGCCGAACATAAAAACCTAGCACCAAAATCTAGATTGGTCGACCCAAATAAGATAAGAAATCTAGAGAATAGTTCAGCTAAAGCACTCACTACATACAGTTACACACAATCATACAATAGCCTGGATGGGATAGGATGACAGTTTTAAAATCTAATGTCGCAGCTAGGTGGAGGGAGAGATTGATAACGACGGAAGCTTTGTTTATCGAATCAAGTGAATGAAAATATACGTGTCCTTGAAGTGATTCAACACCTGCTCAGTCGGACATCTGGGAACTTCTACTACCTCAACGACGACAAATAGGAGAAAACAAAGAAAACTGTGAAAAGTTTCGAAGTCGTGTGATTATAATTGGTATGATTATGAACCACAATAAATTTTTTTCGAAACGTCATCCAGCAAATAATCCCGTCTCACTATGTGATACATCTAATAAACAAATAAATATGAAATTGCTGCTAGATCTTTCTATAACATTGTAGACAGATGGTAA